CACCAACTTGATAGAAACGCAGCACAAATTTGGTAGAAACACCACACCAACTGGATAGAAACACAACACCAACTTGATAGAAACACAACTGGATAGAAACGCAGCACCAACTTGGTAGAAACGCAGCACCAACTTGATAGAAACGCAGCACCAACTTGGTAAAAATACAACTGGATAGAAACGCAGCACCAACTTGGGAGAAACACAACACCAACTTGAAAGAAACGCAGCACCAACTTGGTAGAACCACAACACCAACTTGATAGAAATACAGCACCAACTTGATAAAAACGCAGCACCAACTTGGTAGAAACACAGAACCAACTTGATAGAAACGCAGCACTGAATTTGTAGAAACACAACACCAACTTGATAAAAACACAACACCAACTTGATAGAAACGCAGCACCAACTTGGTAGAAACACAACACCAACTTGGTAGAAACGCAACACCAAATTGATAGAAACACAACACCAACTTGGTAGAAACACAACACCAACTTGGTAGAAACGCAGCACCAACTTGATAGAAACGCAGCACTGAATTTGTAGAAACACAACACCAACTTGATAGAAACACAACACCAACTTGATAGAAACGCAGCACCAACTTGATAGAAACGCAGCATCAACTTGGTTGAAACACAGAACCAACTTGGTAGAAACACAACACCAACTTGGTAGAAACGCAACACCAACTTGGTAGAAACACAACACCAACTTGGTAGAAACGCAGCATCAACTTGATAGAAACACAACACTGACTTTGTAGAAACACAACACCAACTGGATAGAAACACAACATCAACTGGATAGAAACACAACACCAACTTGATAGAAACGCAGCATCATTTTGGTAGAAACGCAGCACCAACTTCGTAGAAACACAACATCAACTGGATAGAAACACAACACCAACTTGGTTGATGCAGCACCAACTTCGTAGAAACGCAGCACCAACTGGATAGAAAAACAACGCCAAATTGGTAGAAAGACAACACCAACTGGATAGAAACACAACACCAACTGGATAGAAACACAACCACTGGATAGAAACAACACCAACTGGATAGAAATACACCAACTGGATAGAAACACAACACCAACTTGGTAGAAACACAACACCAACTGGATAGAAACACAACCACTGGATAGAAACACAACACCAACTGGATAGAAATACACCAACTGGATAGAAACACAACACCAACTTGGTAGAAATACAACACCAACTGGATAGAAAGACAACACCATCTGGATAGAAACACAACACCAACTGGATAGAAACACAACACCAACTTGGTAGAAACACAACACTGACTTGATAGAAATGCAGCATCAACTCGGTAGAAACGCAGCACCAACTTGGTAGAAACAAAGCACCAACTTGGTAGAAACACAACATCAACTTGGTAGAAACACAACACCAACTGGATAGAAACACAACACCAACTGGATAGAAACACAACACCAACTGGATAGAAACACAACACCAACTGGATAGAAACACAACACCAACTGGATAGAAACACAACACCAACTTGTTACTTGTTATTAAATCTCTCCTGTAAACTAAAAACAGTACTTGTCATTAAATCTCTCCTGTAAACTTAAGACAGTGCTTGTCATTAAATCTCTCCTGTAAACTAAAAACAATACTTGTCATTAAATCTCTCCTGTAAACTTAAGACAGTACTTGTCATTAAATCTCTCCTGTAAACTAAAGATGTAGTGCATGTTATTAAATCTCTCCTGTAAACTTAAGACAGTGCTTGTCATTAAATCTCTCCTGTAAACTTAAGACAGTGCTTGTCATTAAATCTCTCCTGTAAACTAAAGATGTAGTACATGTTATTAAATCTCTCCTGTAAACTTAAGACAGTGCTTGTCATTAAATCTCTCCTGTAAACTAAAGATGTAGTACCTGTTATTAAATCTCTTCTGTAAACTAAAGACAGTACTTGTCATTAAATCTCTCCTGTAAACTAAATACAGTACTTGTCATTTAATCTCTCCTGTAAACTAAAGATGTAGTACCTGTGATTAAATCTCTCCTGTAAACTTAAGACGGTGTGTGTCATTAAATCTCTCCTGTAAACTTAAGACAGTGCTTGTCATTAAATCTCTCCTGTTCACTAAAGATGTAGTACCTGTTATTAAATCTCTCCTGTAAACTTAAGACAGTGCTTGTCATTAAATCTCTCCTGTAAACTAAAGATGTAGTACCTGTGATTAAATCTCTCCTGTAAACTTAAGACAGTGCGTGTCATTAAATCTCTCCTGTAAACTAAAAACAATACTTGTCATTAAATCTCTCCTGTAAACTTAAGACAGTGCTTGTCATTAAATCTCTCCTGTAAACTTAAGACAGTGCTTGTCATTAAATCTCTCCTGTTCACTAAAGATGTAGTACCTGTTATTAAATCTCTCCTGTAAACTTAAGACAGTGCTTGTCATTAAATCTCTCCTGTAAACTAAAGATGTAGTACCTGTGATTAAATCTCTCCTGTAAACTTAAGACAGTGCGTGTCATTAAATCTCTCCTGTAAACTAAAAACAATACTTGTCATTAAATCTCTCCTGTAAACTTAAGACAGAGATTGTCATTAAATCTCTCCTGTAAACTTAAGACAGTGCTTGTCATTAAATCTCTCCTGTACACTAAAGATGTAGTACCTGTCATTAAATCTCTCCTGTAAACTTAAGACAGAGATTGTCATTAAATCTCTCCTGTAAACTAAAAACAATACTTGTCATTAAATCTCTCCTGTAAACTTAAGACAGTGCTTGTCATTAAATCTCTCCTGTAAACTAAAGATGTAGTGCCTGTGATTAAATCTCTCCTGTAAACTTAAGAAAGTGCGTGTCATTAAATCTCTCCTGTAAACTAAAAACAATACTTGTCATTAAATCTCTTCTGTAAACTAAAGACAGTACTAGTCATTTAATCTCTCCTGTAAACTAAAGATGTAGTACCTGTGATTAAGTCTCCTGTAAACTAAAGACAGTACTTGTCATTAAATCTCTCCTGTAATCTACAGACATCCAAACTTGTTAATAAATCTCTCCTGTATACTACAGACGTAGAACTTGTCATTAATGCCAATGTGATGATTCCATGAATTGTGTTTCCTTGTTTTTTTATGGAACAAGAAAGCCACAGAGTCTTCCTTTTGAATGAATGACAAGACAGTAGGTGTGATGAACTGTTTTATTACAAAGACTTATTGTTGCCACATTGCTGCAGATTATAGCACTGTCATCATTCTTGTGGGGAGTGGAGTGAGTGAGTGAGTTGGGTTTAACGCCGCTTTTAACAGTATTCCAGTTATATCGCGGCGTGTCAGCTTAATGTGGGAGGAAAGCCCGAAGTGATGCAGGTTTCAACTTTACCATTTCGGTGAAACCCACGAGCACGGGTATGGTGCTGACAAACCTAGAAACATAATCGGGGCGAACCAGGATTCGGACCCACAATCATAAGTTTCTGGCGTGCCCAAGGGACTCTGTACAGCGAATCGCGGCGCCGTAGACGACTTGGCCACCTGTGCCCCAAGCTAGTTGTGAGGGGGCGGTGGGGTAGCCTAGAGGTTAAAGCATTCGCTTGTAACGCAGAAGACCCGGGGTCGATTCCCCACATGAGCACAATGTGTGAAGCCCATGTCTGGTGTCCCACAATAGTAACATATCTTGATCTAAACAAATAAGGAACACACTGCAATAATTCTGAGGAAACGTCTTGAAGTGAAATGTATATATGTCAATACTTTTGGACACTTTTAGGACATACTCGTACATGTCACGTCAAACTAACATTTGTTTATATTGCTTCCCTTATTTCTTTTTATCAGCTTTTCAATATGGCGTATAACGTCATTAAGGTTTACAGAGATAATTCCTGAGAGTGAATGAAGTCTTACCACATATTCCACACACACTTTCAATACATAACAAAATAGTTTATCTAACAATTCAAAGACTTGTTTGTGGAATACTACATTATGAAAGCTCTTTTGTTGAGGATCTTACTGCATAATTGTGTGACACCCCACAACTCTGTTCAATGTCCGTTGTCATGGTGACAAGAGAGGGACTGTAATATCTGTCATCATTATCATAAAATAAACACAACAAGAGTCCCCAGGAGATGGCATATCCCCCTTGGTTCAATTCAGAAAAAAAGTTTGGCTACTTATACCCCACTTCTGAATCACATGCATCTGATACCTTCAGTTCAGTGAAGAAAAAATAATGTTGTTAAAATTTTAAAATCCCAAATCATCAAAAGGCACCAGTTCACCACTAGACTGATCTGTATAGCAAGTTTTATCAAGAAATATTAACAGTTTGGTGTCCTGCTCCGGAAACGAGCACAACCCTCATTTTCAGTATGTCCAACTTGTCGAATAAAATTAAGATAAAAAACATAACAATCCCAAATCATCAAAAGGCACCAGTTTCCAACTAGACTGTTTTTTTTAGAAAGTTTCAACAAGAAATATTTTACAGTTTTGGAGTTCTGTTCCAGAAACGGAAATGGACGACTCATGGATGGACAGATGGACGGACGGACGTACCAATGGACATGCTAATCGCCATATCAAATACAACAAAGACAACATTTTCTGAGTTGGTCACGTTTAGATTTTCTTCACATTATCAAACTTTTCAGCTTAGATAAGATATGACCTTTGCTGTCCTAGCAATGAGAGTGTTCGATCCTAGCAATGAGTGTGTTCAATCCTAGCAATGAGAGTGTTCCATCCTAGCAATGAGAGTGTTCTATCCTAGCAATGAGAGTGTTCGATCCTAGCAATGTGAGTGTTCCCTCCTAGCAATAAGAGTGCTCCATCCAAGCAATGAGATTGTTCCATCCTAGCAATAAGAGTGTTCCATCCTAGCAATAAGAGTGTTCCATCCTAGCAATAAGAGTGTTCCATCCTAGCAATAAGAGTGTTCCATCCTAGCAATAAGAGTGTTCCATCCTCTGTGTCGTCAGCCCAGGAACACTGAAGCAACTTTCCCCTTAGCGCCAAGTCCAGTAACCCTGAAAACAGATCCCGCCAGTGACTCTGTGGTGTTCAGCTGCTCTTCGGTGAAGTTGGCTACGAGGCTGGTGACATAGAGCTGATCCAGGTCTGGTCCACCCCAGCACGCTGACGTGATCTTGGAGGCATTCGGCAGCTCCACCCGCTGCAGCAGTTGGCCTGGAGACAGTGATGGGACGTGAATGAGTCGTACTTTTAACACCACTGCAGCTATATCAGTTATCTTAAGACCAGAGTTCTATGTTTCTTGGTTTATAGATTGTTGTGTATAATCCTGGTCGTTAAGAGACCCACCATTTAATTTTTTTGACATTTTTTATAGAGCCCAATCTCATTGCAAACAGATCTTACAATCAGATGGCTGCTGCTTTGCTCAGCGAGAGCGAGAACCACAATCTGATCTTAATGAGATTGCTTAGCGCCAGGATATTTTGTCACTCATTAATTAAATATGGAAACATTCTGTGACGGAAGGGGCTGGAAAGTGAACAAATAATCACAAGACATCTAGCATGTCCAGCACACTTTCTTTATTTTATTTTTTGGAAAACCTGAGGACAAATTATTTTTTTAGCTTTTTTACTGGAATATCAAATGGTCGGTTTCTAAGTGAGAAAAACATCAACACTCCCAATTGGTACCTCAACACTACCTATTGGTACCTCAACACTACCTATTGGTACCTCAACACTACACATTGGTACCTCAACACTACCTATTGGTACCTCAACACCACACATTGGTACCTCAACACTACCTATTGGTACCTCAACACTACCTATTGGTACCTCAACACTACCTATTGGTACCTCAACACTACACATTGGTACCTCAACACTACCTATTGGTACCTCAACACTACACATTGGTACCTCAACACTACCTATTGGTACCTCAACACTACACATTGGTACCTCAACACTACCTATTGGTACCTCAACACTACCTATTGGTACCTCAACACTACCTATTGGTACCTCAACACCACCTATTGGTACCTCAACACTACCTATTGGTACCTCAACACTACCTATTGGTACCTCAACACTACCTATTGACATTTGGTTTTACTTGGTCATGTTTCTTAGACAGATTGTACTTGTGATCGAAGGATTCCCAGTTGCATTATTTGTTTTCCTTAGACAAACATGCTTTGAAGTATTTGACATTACATCTGAAGTGGTAACACCTATTCAGAGGAGCATGAACTACAACAAGTATCAGGAAGGCTACATCAAGGATCTACAGCTGTATCATCACCTGTTCTGGAGTCAAACTGTGACATGGACCCGATACTCAAGCAGGCAACCCACAGATTGTCATCCGTGTCGATCGTCATCCCATCCGGCCGGACCAAGGTGCCGTCAAATTCAGGAGTCTTCTGGAAGTCCACTGCGACCCTCTGATTTGCTGCAGGCAGACAGGAGTTAATCCCATGTACTAAACATGACTTCACTGTTTGACAAAGGTCAAATCGCTTGTTTGGGGTAACTGACAGTATAACTTCCATAAGTGACTGAATGGTTGCCAAATGGAAAAGCAAATCCATTCATTCATTGAGCAGAGAGATGGTGCATGGTGTCTATCAATGTTATCCCTTTACCCTGCATTCTGTGGACCTGGTGTTGTCCTCAGGCTGAAATGATGTATACAAACTTAGCCATATGTTAATCAATACTTTCTTTGAGTTCCTATGGCTAGGAAGTTCTGATTCTACACATACTACTAGCTGTAAGTTGCAAGCCATAAATATATCTTGTTTGAAAACCAACAACCCATCTTGATGTATTATATAAAATAGATCTGCCATAGAAATTGATCCTGTGAGCTGAATTGACAACTATCGCTGACTTCATGTCGTCACCTACCCAGGGTGCCTTTCTCAAGGTCGAAGTCATATGCCCACACTTGGCGGGTAGGTGTGTCGATATAGAACATGGTCTTGTTATCAGCTGACCAGGCCAGACCATTGGACACAGTGACCCCGTCCACTTGGCGCTGCAGCTGTCCGTCTGTCCCCAGGGAGTACAGATTCCCCACCCCCTGTACCCTGGGGCTCCCTGTGTTCATGGTTCCTGGTAACAGACAACCGTACCACATTTCAAGAAGCCTTCTGGACCTGACCAGTTCCAGTTCATATTTTACATTTGAGAAAAAGGCCTGGACGTGACCAGTTCCAGTTCATATTTTACATTTGAGAAAAAGGCCTGGACGTGACCAGTTTCAGTTCATATTTTACATTTGAGAAAAAGGCCTGGACGTGACAAGTTCCAGTTCATATTTTACATTTGAGAAAAAGGCCTGGACGTGACCAGTTTCAGTTCATATTTTACATTTGAGAAAAAGGCCTGGACGTGACAAGTTCCAGTTCATATTTTGCATTTGAGAAAAAGGCCTGGACGTGACCAGTTCCAGTTCATATTTTGCATTTGAGAAAATGGCCTGGACGTGACCAGTTTCAGTTCATATTTTACATTTGAGAAAAAGGCCTTGACGTGACCAGTTTCAGTTCATATTTTACATTTGAGAAAAAGGCCTGGACGTGACCAGTTCCAGTTCATATTTTACATTTGAGAAAAAGGCCTTGACGTGACCAGTTCCAGTTCATGTTTTGCATTTGAGAAAAAGGCCTGGATGTGACCAGTTCCAGTTCATGTTTTACATTTGAGAAAAAGGCCTTGACGTGACCAGTTTCAGTTCATATTTTACATTTGAGAAAAAGGCCTGGACGTGACCAGTTTCAGTTCATATTTTACATTTGAGAAAAAGGCCTGGACCTGACCAGTTCCAGTTCATATTTTACATATTGAGAAAAAGGCGAAAATAAGTGAGTGAGCATTGACTGAAACATGTGTGTCTGTGTATCTTGCTGTAAGTATTTGGCTCGACATGTACCGTTACCTCAAAGTTAAATAAGGGTAAAATAAGTGTTCCCGGGTTTCAAGAACCAGCTAGAATATAGGATCAATGTGATATCTTGGTGTGGTGAGGTGAAATGGGGTTTATCGTCGCGTCCAAGATTATTGCACTTATATAGCGATGTGCATGTACGTGTGTGTGTTTGTGTGGCTGCTTGTACTAGTCCGAACAGATGCTGATTTATAGTGCTAGCTCACTGAGATACCATGCCGCAGTTTAACATGAATACCCCACTCAGACATAGTATACTGACTCTGAGCCGACCAGTCCTTGAGCCCCAGACAGGGTACAACAAGTACCATCTTTTAACGTCTTTGGTTTGATGCAGCAGGGGATCGAACCCTGGACCTTCTGCTTTCTTGGCGGACGCTCTACCACTAGACCACGGAGACGGTCATGCGATATCTTGGACATGATTAACAGTTAAAGGAAATTCCTATAATTGTACAACAATTTACACTTATTTCTGTACATGAAGACGTCAGTGGAACAATACCTGCCCATAGCCTTCCTGAAGCATCACATTTGCCATCATTTAGTCGGTTGTCATGGCGTTCCTCCACTGTTGCCAGGGTTGTGGTGGTTCCGCTCTCCCAGTCCAAACATACAACACTCAGGTTCAAACCCACCACAAGGCCACCACTGCTCCGAGGGATCACAAAGCCCACTGTGCCATCTGATAACAAGGCATATAAGAATGCATGAACCCTTACCACGACAGATTCTTTTTCTTTTTCTGACGTTTGAGGAGGAATCACTGGGTGAGGTAAGAGGAAGGACAACAGGGTGAGGTTTGAGAAATGACCACAGTGTGAGTTTAAAGGAGGGACAACAGGGTGAGGTTAAAGGAGGGACAACAGTGTGAGGTTACAGGAGGGACCACAGGGTGAGGTTAAAGGAGGGACCAGGGGGTTGAGGTTAAAGGAGGGACAACAGGGTGAGGTTACAGGAGGGACCACAGGTTGAGGTTAAAGGAGGGACCACAGGTTGAGGTTAAAGGAGGGACCACTGGTTGAGGTTAAAGGAGGGACCACAGTGTGAGGTTAAAGGAGGGACAACAGGGTGAGGTTAGGGTAAGGACAACAGGTTAGAGGAATGACCACAGTGTGAGGTTACAGGAGGGACCACAGGGTGAGGTTAAAGGAGGGACCACAGGGTGAGGTTAGAGGAGGGACAACAGGGTGAGGTTAAAGGAGGGAAAACAGGGTGAGGTTAAAGGAGGGACCACAGGTTGAGGTTAGGGTAAGGACAACAGGTAAGAGGAATGACCACAGTGTGAGGTTACAGGAGGGACCACAGGGTGAGGTTAAAGGAGGGACCACAGTGTGAGGTTAGAGGAGGAAAACAGGGTGAGGTTAAAGGAGGGACCACAGGGTGAGGTTAAAGGAGGGACCACAGGTTGAGGTTAAAGGAGGGACAACAGGGTGAGGTTACAGGAGGGACCACAGGTTGAGGTTAAAGGAGGGACCACAGGTTGGGGTTAAAGGAGGGACCACTGGTTGAGGTTAAAGGAGGGACCACAGGGTGAGGTTAAAGGAGGGACAACAGGGTGAGGTTAGGGTAAGGACAACAGGTTAGAGGAATGACCACAGTGTGAGGTTACAGGAGGGACCACAGGGTGAGGTTAAAGGAGGGACCACAGGGTGAGGTTAGAGGAGGGACAACAGGGTGAGGTTAAAGGAGGGACCACAGGTTCAGGTTAAAGAAGGGACCACAGGTTGAGGTTAAAGGAGGGACCACTGGTTGAGGTTAAAGGAGGGACCACAGGTTCAGGTTAAAGGAGGGACCAATGGTTGAGGTTAAAGGAGGGACCATGGGGTTGAGGTTTAAGGAGGGACCACTGGTTGAGGTTAAAGGAGATACCACAGGTTGAGGTTAAGGGAGGGACCACAGGTTGAGGTTAAAGGAGGGACCAGTGGTTGAGGTTAAAGGAGGGACCACATGGTGAGGTTGAAGGAGGGACCACGGGGTGAGGTTAGAGGAGGGACCACAGGTTGAGGTTAAAGGAGAGACAACAGGGTGAGGTTAGAGGAGGGACCACAGGGTGAGGTTGAAGGAGGGACAACAGGGTGAGGTTGAAGGAGGGACCACAGGTTGAGGTTAAAGGAGAGACCACAGGGTGAGGTTGAAGGAAGGACCACAGGATGAGGTTAAAGGAGGGACCACAGGGTGAGGTTGAAGGAGGGACCACAGGATGAGGTTAAAGGAGAGACCGCAGGTTGAGGTTAAAGGAGAGACCACAGGGTGAGGTTAAAGGAGAGACCACAGGGTGAGGTTAAAGGAGAGACCATGGGGTGAGGTTCAAGGAGAGACAACAGGGTGAGGTTAAAGGAGAGACAACAGGGTGAGGTTAAAGTAGAGACAACAGGGTGAGGTTAAAGGAGAGACAACAGGGTGAGGTTAAAGGGGGGAACACAGGGTGAGGTTGAAGGATGGACAACAGGGTGAGGTTAAAGGAGGGACCACAGGGTGAGGTTAAAGGAGAGACCATGGGGTGAGGTTCAAGGAGAGACAACAGGGTGAGGTTAAAGGAGAGACAACAGGGTAAGGTTAAAGTAGAGACAACAGGGTGAGGTTAAAGGAGAGACAACAGGGTGAGGTTAAAGGGGGGAACACGGGGTCACTTTTCTGAAATCAAATACATCTTGAAATATTAAAATGAATACATAAAGAAGCACTGGACATGATAAAACACAAAAGTTAATTAACTTTAGCTGAAACATTAGATTTACACATCATCTAATGCTCTCCTGTACTTTAGCTACAAATGTTATTTTGATTTGTATACAAAGATGACAAGGTCTGCTGAATAGAATAGTGTCAAACCATCCACTCCCAACACTAAGTTAAATGTCCCCAAGTTAAAACTAGTTTGTTTTCATTAATTCAAGCTAATTTTGAAGATAATAGTTTTGAATGTATTTCTTAACCACATACATTGAATTCTGGGCCAAACATTTGGTAAAGCAACTAAAAAAATATAATAGTCCTTACCCAGGTGTACTTTCTCATCCTTGGCTGTGACGGGGTCCCACCTGTGCACATCCCCTTCATTGATGTCTACATACAACAGCCTCTGGGTGGCCTCGTCCCAGTGCGGACCCTCCCCCACTGTCAACGCTGCATGCTTGATCACGGTCTCCACCTCATATGGCATCCTTACCCGTTATCTGCATGGAAATATGTTGTCAATAAAGGGACAATTATGATTCATACCGTTGTGTTTGATGCCCTGGCATATGGGTCATTCTCAAAAAATGTCAGAATTTCAACTAAGCAAAAACATCAAACTTGTCTTTTGTAAAATTCCTTTTTTATTGACTCAGTACACAAAGTAACTTCTGAATAATAATGTTAAGCAAAATGACACCTTAATAATCAATGATGACCTAATTATGATAACAGCACAGACAGTAACAGCATAGACAAATTGACATTAATTACAATTTTTTTAATGAGACCTCCCTTGAAATGTTGAGACCACATGGCATTGTGAACAGTTCATATTTTCTAATATTCTGAAAAAATGGTTTTAGAAAAAAATATTTGTTTTGGCAAAAATGAGCAGTAACAGCACAGAAATAAGAAAAGGGTTTTCATGATAGGAATAAACTTCCCTGTCAAGCAGAATTATCCAAGGTCTTCTCTCACTTGAAGGACACTGCTGCCATGATAGTACAGGAAGTAAGCGGTATTTCTGTTATTTTGAATTATGGGAATCTTGAAGGATTATTTATTTTTCAGTTTTGATCCATCCTGGTAACAGGACAGACACTTTTTTATGTACAAGTGTTTCTTACCAAAAACCAATATAAATAAAAGTGTGTATCTTTAAAAAATAATTATATTCCATGAGTTAGAAAGGTAATGTACAATATATAAACATTATTTACATAATATTTTTTATTTTTAGCAACATTAAACAATGTTGATGTGCAAACATAGGGTTACGGACACACCCTTCAGCTCAATTTAAGCGCAATTAAGCAGTTTTAATTAAAATAAAATACCTAATAAGAAATACTGAAATTTAACTTTCAGACACCATGGTATGTTCTAAGAAAAACACTTGTGTTTTAACATATTTAAAATAAATATTTTAATTGTTATTCAACCCGGACTAAAATTCTCACTTTTTTTGAGAATAACCCATATATGAGATCAAGGTATATTTGATATCTGGGTAAGTATGAAGTCAATGAAGGCCTACATATGATGTAGAGGCATATATGCAGAGCTCCAGATAAGCTTTTGGTGTTGTGGGTATTTTACCCATGCATTTTAAAATCATTGGGTATCAGTAATTCTATCTGGGTATTCAAATTTCTGTTACCCACTAGTTTTTACACATGTGGGTATTTAAGTTAAATATTTAAAAACACTTCATGTAGTCCCTGCAAACTGGTGTCGTGTAAGTTCGAGAGCTTTATAGGACTTATAAATACCACGATACTTCCACAAGAAAGTGTGATGGCAAATGATCATGATGTAACTGTCATTGTGGAGTTTGGCAAGGTTGACGGAATGTCCGTATATAATTTCAAAATAAGTTTGATTTGCTAATCGAATACGCAGGGTTACTTCACAATATTTTGATGACACGCACTAGTTTTATTTTTGTAGCGTATCTTTAATGTTCGGTGCGTATTTGATACCCTTTAATTTTATTATCTGCATTTCTGATGCGTATTTTACGCAGATATGCAGCTTATATGGAGCTCCGTATATGATATCATTGTTCATGTGTATCAAGGTATATATATATCTGATGTCTGGGTAATCTGATGTCAATGTATATCGGATGTAAGGGTATATATGACATCAGAGAAGCTTATAAATAGAGAATCTCACCCGAGTGTCTTTCGATATAAAACACCCCTTGATAAAAGTGAAAAAAAACTTTCTACTTTTATTTTGTTGATATTTGATATCACAAGACACTGGGGTGAGATTCTCCATGTAAAAAGTACTGCTAACAGCTTCAGTAGCAGAGACATTAGTGATGCCATGGTAACCAATGACGTCACAATGGTTTGTAAAAACATTGTGATGCAATTTCATTGTAGCGATATCTACAATGTAGATATCGCTTGATCTCACCCAAGTGATATCTCCTGTGGGATCCAGTTTTGGATGATACATCGGTGCAGTGTCTTGGAAATCTGGAAATTCTGATGACATTGTCCTTACTATTGCACGTCTGGTGTCAGCTTTAGTGTCTGCCAGGGTACATCTGATGACAGGGCATTCCTGATATCTCTCGGTGTATAATTAACTTACCATAGCCGAGAGCCGCGATGGGGTCACACAGTCAAGACACGTCCCTACATCACGCCTTGACTGTACTGTAGCCTGTAGGACCCCATCGCGGCTCTCGGCTTAACTAAATATAACCTGATATTATGTCCACATACCTAATCTGAAGAACAGTTTGTAGTTATAAAATTAGAACTTGTTCCATTCACTGTATCACAGAAGCATTGATATTACATACTAATCACGTATTGAAACGCACGTGAACATCTGGCGAAGGCGTATTGTTGACAGCTGCTGCGGGTAAAGATTTTAGAGTTACCTCCCTTAGTAAAGGGGAGTTCCCCTAATAATAGTTTAATAGTGGTCTTTTCGTTAGCACTAAACGTAATCATTTTGGAATGTAGAGGAGAGAAATTTGCTTCTACATGTCATCTGACAAAATATTCTCTTTAATAATGTTATCCTGCAACAAGATCTATATGACTATAAGAACCTAAAGTTTTCTAAAATTATTTCAATAAATACTTATACAATCGTTCAAATTTTTAAAAAAACACACACATATCACACATTTAATGAAGAAGCACTTGTAACACAATGTGCCGGAACCGAGTGAGTGAGGGAGTGAGTATGGTTTTACGCCGCTTTTAGGAATATTACAGCAATATCACAGCGGGGGACACCAGAAATGGGCTTCACACATTGTACCCAAGCCGGGAATCGAACCCGGGTCTTCGGCGTGACGAGCGAACGCTTTAACCACTAGGCTACCCGACCGCCCCGTGCCGGAACTGAGCACGTGTCGATCCTACAACCACGTTTAGACAGAGACCATAAAGTAGATGGTCTCTGGTTTCCGTTTCTCAGGTTATTTTTGGTGGTTGCATATGTAAATGATTCGATTTTTGTATTCGAATTCACTCGGTAAATAGTGAAACTTGTGAGATTTTAAATTGATCGTGATCGGTAAATAAATAATCAAATAGTTAGGTACACGGATGAACTATTTCTGAAACATTTCATACTATTACACAACAACCCTCCTTATTGGTCATACATATGACCCGTGAAGATCCGGGGTAGAATTATAGGTCTTCATCGATGCTCATGATATTAATCACTGGATTGTTTAGTCCAGACTCGATTGTTTTACAGACCGCCGTCATAAAGCTGTAATATTGCTGAGTGCGGCGTTAAACAACAAACTAACCTAATTTTACCTTGTCATACATATAAGAGTGGTCTTGTGGTAGAGCGCCCGCCCGGAGAGCGGAAGGTCCGGGCTTCGATCCCCGGCCGCGTCATACCAAAAGACTCTGCATTAAGGGGCTAAAACAAGGACTGGTCGGCTCGGAGTCAGTATACTGTGTCTGAGTTGGGTATGCATGTTAAACTGCGGCATGGTATCTCTATAAATCGGCTTTAGTCCGTACTAACACAAACAGCCACAAACAGCCACACACAGCCACAAACAGCCACACACACACACACACACACACACACACACACACACACACACACACACACACGTGCATGCACGTCGCTATATAAGTGCAATAATCTTGGACGCGACTTTAAACCCAATTTCACCTCACCACATACATATAATTTCAGCCTAGACTATTGTATTTCACTTTCCGTCAAAGATAAATGCCGCCATCTATTCAACAAAATCACTTTGTCTCATCATTAATGTCTGATCTGTATCTTCCGGTTGCTTCTCCTGCTGATACATCACCTCACTCAAGTACCGTTACTGCTTGGCTCCCTTTATCAGGACCGACCAACAGGTTATCTAAACTTTGATAACAAAACCTACTTGTATTCTGTACATAGACAATCACAATCAGATGATGGGGTCATGTATAACTAAACCCACTGTTTTAGTCCACACTTCCTTATAGTGATAACATATAGCAACACATTTAATAATGTCAAATTTCTACTGGTCCTTATGATGCCTTAACTATTGGGCAGTTTGGCAAGGACTTTTGGATTAGTGCCAATTTCTAACGGTGCTATACTAGCCACAAAAAGAAACTGCGCACGTAGGTAATCAAAACATGTATTGAAACTACATGTGAACATAAATACAGATGTAAACACAGTAATTAGTGAACTGAATTGAACACAAATTTATGCGGGAGCTACGTTTCATGCACTGCTGTTATCGTGGCCTACGGTGGGCATACCCGTTGTTGCTTGACCCTTGGGAACCTTTCATTGTCGTTATATTTTCAAATTTAGAAAGCATTTTAACAATGCAGTTTCTTTTTATGGCTTGTAATGTGTTTTGTACAACTGGTCCCTCAAGCACTGGGTCAAGGTGTTTTATATAGCTGATCTCTGAAGCACTGGGTCATCGTGTTTTGTATAGCTGATCTCTGAAGCACTGGGTCAACGTGTTTTGTATAGCTGATCTCTGAAGCACTGGGTCAACGTGTTTTGTAATGCTGATCTCTGAAGCACTGGGTCAACGTGTTTTGTATAGCTGATCTCTGAAGCACTGGGTCAACGTGTTTTGTATAGTTGATCCAAGAAACTCTGTGTCAATGTGTTTTGTACAACTGATCTCTAAAGCACTGGGTCAACGTGTTTTATATAGCTGATCTCTGAAGCACTGGGTCAACGTGTTTTGTATATCTGATCCAAGAAACTCTGTGTCAACGTGTTTTGTACATCTGATCTCTAAAGCACTGGGTCAACGTGTTTTATATAGCTGATCTCTGAAGCACTGGGTCAACGTGTTTTATATAGCTGATCTCTGAAGCACTGGGTCAACGTGTTTTGTACAACTGATCTCTAAAGCACTGGGTCAACGTGTTTTGTATAGCTGATCTCTGAAGCACTGGGTCAACGTGTTTTGTATAGCTGATCTCTGAAGCACTGGGTCAACGTGTTTTGTATAGCTGATCTCTGAAGCACTGGGTCAACGTGTTTTGTATAGCTGATCTCTGAAGCACTGGGTCAACGTGTTTTGTATAGCTGATCTCTGAAGCACTGGGTCAACGTGTTTTGTATAGCTGATCTCTGAAGCACTGGGTCAACGTGTTTTGTATAGCTGGTCTCTGAAGCACTGGGTCAACGTGTTTTGCATAGCTGATCTCTAAAGCACTGGGTCGATGGTTCGATCCCTTGGCCGCGTCATACCAAAAGACGATGGTACTTGCTGTTACCCTGCCTGGCGCTCTGCTTTAAGGCGATAAATCACGTATTGGTCAGCTTTGAGTAAGTTTTATGTATCTGAGGGTTGTAAACAGCGGCATGGTATCTCAGTAGGATAGCACTATAAAGTCCGGACTAGTACAAGGAGCCACACACATGCATGCGTGTCACTTTTCAATCTTACGACCGATATCAAACCCCTTTTCACCTAACCTCCTGTTCACAAGGCTAAGTGTCACAGTTCTATATGTCGTATGCTTTCGTTGTTGTAAGCATTGCACTGACAAAGCCGAACTACAGTGTATATATCTACAAGGTATATATGTGCATGTCATGCGAGGAATCCTTGGTAGAACAATGGCGGTATGTGCCCACTACCTGCATACGTATTATCTAAAAGTTTAGAATTTAAACTGAGTTTTGGGACCCACCATGTTATCTTAGAGTGTGCCGCAACTGTCCCAAACAAGTTCGCTCCTGCTTGGTATAAAGGTGACAAAATGCCTTTTGTCCTAAACAGAAGTTTGGTTTGGTTTGGTTTGTTTGTTTGTAGGTTAACGCCACACTCAGCAATATTACAGCTACATGGCGGCGGTGTAAATAATCGAGTCTGGACCAGACAATCCAGTGATTGATATCATGAGCATCAATCCACGCAATTGGGATCGATGACATGCTTCAACCAAGTCAGCGAGCCTGACCACCCGGTCCCGTTTGTCGCCTCTTACGACAAGCATAGTCGCCTTTTACGGCAACCATGGATTGCTGAAGACCTATTCTAACCCGGATCTTCACGGGTCCCCACCTAAACCGCCATTGTCACTACCTCAACACAACACCTTGAAGACAGGCACAGCTCAAACAAACACAACCATGCAGTGACAATGACATATTTTATATGAAACAGTATATACCAACATGTGCACAAAACATGTTCCCAAACTGTAGTGGATGAAGTCAAGGAGGTGTGCAAAATGAGATGTTCAATATAACATGATGACGTCACTTCAATGAGATGTAAAATATAACGTGATGACGTCACTTCAATGAGATGTACAATATAACGTGATGACGTCACTTCAATGAGATGTACATTTTAACGTGATGACGTCACTTCAATGAGATGCACAATATAAAGTGATGACGTCACTTCAATGAGATGTACAATATAACGTGATGACGTCACTTCAATGAGATGTACATTTTAACGTGATGACGTCACTTCAATGAGATGCACAATATAAAGTGATGACGTCACTTCAATGAGATGTACAATATAAAGTGATGACGTCACTTCAATGAGATGTACAATATGACGTGATGACGTCACTCCAATGAGATGTACAATATAACGTGATGACGTCACTTCAATGAGATGTACAATATATGTACAATATTTGAATAAACACCTGTCAAATTATAAGTATCAGTTTTGTTTGCATCACGGACAGATAAAAAAACTATCCCTCTCATTGGTTGAGTAGGATAGTAACCATGCTTTCACCTTCTATACGGTTGACGTTTGTTCAGCGTATGGATTACAGGACGGTTTCAAGCTTCTAGTGGACTGATCCGCTATAGGTCAAGGTTTGATAGGGTTAGTCATTCATTTAGAAGAGCTGATTACCTCCTATTTTCCTGGGCGTTATAAAATTAACCTTTAGTCCAAATGAGATAACACACCCAGTGTCAGATAACTATGGAACGCAAGGCCATACTACTTCAGAAGGTATATATATCACATTTGGCTGCACTTCTCTACCATTTTATTTCTTTAAATACAGTAATATCATTCGACTGTTTATGGTAAAATAGTAGAAATAATAGTATACAATAGAATGCGCGCGAGACCATGATATATCAGAATATTTATGTTACTTGGTTTCATTACTCGGATCAAATACTTCCCTCTCCTATATCAACAAGTCAAAAATTATTTCATTGTTCAGTTTGTCAGTTGCGAGATTACCTTGACTTGATTCAGAGTTATCTGTCTCTGATAAACCTAACTGTCCGTAGTGTTAATTCGCGATAAGCCAGTCACAGGGGTATACTCTATCAGGTGCCGGTGTTGACAAGGGAGGTACACGTGTAGTGGAAACGCAGATAAATGAGTTCTTATTGTCTGAGCAAAGAATATATGTTGGTAACACATCTACTCAATGGACAATCGAAACAGATTGGAAACGGAAATATTGAGAGTTTGCTTGTCTCTCATTGATTTCTGTCCCTGTCGCTCGCTACCCTCATCCCTGGTAGATATTAGCTGGGCTGCCTTTTGCATTAAGTCCAGTAACTCTGAACAACGACCCTGCCAGCGATTCTGTTGTCTGGAATTCGCTGTCTGGGATTCCTTCTCTCAAGCTGGTCACGTACAACTCATCTAGGTTCTTCCCTCCCCACGCCACGGACGTGATCTTGGTAGCGTTAGGCAGGGAAACCTGTTGGAGCGCTGCCCCTAAAACAGATTGTACACAGGACCAATTTACGGCAAGAAAAATATATCATTTTCTTAAATGTTTAGTATACAGTTACGCCCTGGGGGCGAAGTATGTCGCCATTATTCTACGCTCTACGCACGATCGGAAAGTTACAATGGTGGATCTGGCTAATCGTACGTGATGGGACCCAGACAACGTCGTTGTTCAATCCAAGCTACTGGTTTTGCTGTTCTCAAATACCCACTACCGTGACATAGCTGAAATATTGCTATTGAGCGTAAACCAACAATCACCTTCACTTTGTAGAATTGTAGAAGTGTAGTCTCATAACCGAGATTTCAAGAACGAGTGTTAAGGTTTTGTAAGATTATCAAGAAAAGATATAAGAAAATAATGTTGTTTAAATGACCTTAAGTGTTGGGCTGTACAATGTCATGACGTTCTTTTGTGTTCTTATGGAGAGATATTTTTAAAAACCTCTTGCAAATTTACCTCGTGTTAAAATTCTTTGCTTACCTGTTTTGGGATCAAATTTGGCCACCATTCCACCCCCGAAGCAAGCCACCCACAGATTGCCGTCCGTGTCAATAGTCATGCCATCAGGGCCGGGGACGTTGCCTTTAAACTCCGGCACGGCGTCAAAGTCTACAGCCACCCTCCGATTGGCTGCAATGAAACATTAGTTTCATCTGTACCCTCGATGGCATCTCAACCTTTGATCATCCTCTCAAAGGGAAGTGACTGGTCCTGAGCAGCTTTTCAGGCCAGCCGACTTCACCCAAACGGAGGACTCTGCAGGGTTGCCTATTTTCTCAACACACTGCACATAAACTCGATGCAGTGGTCGTTCAGATAGCCTCTCCTTGTAAAACTGAGTCTGGGCCGATTTGATATGGCACTTCGCTTGGTTGACATTCATCTCTGTACCGTCCAGCAGTACAGAACCATCAACAAAATCAACACTGACATATGTCCCACATCCTTGGCTCGCTTAAGAAAACTGTGGAATGCCTTGTTTTCATGATGATGATGATGATGATGGTTATTATTATTATTGTAACAACAACCATCCCCGTCATCTGCTGTTGAAGACATGCTTGACTTTTGATCTTTTAATGCGATGCGTCTGTCCAGTTACTTGTAACATTTTATCAGTAGTAATAGGGGCGGTCGGGTCAAAGACTCACATATATTTCCAGTGTTGATGTCGTAGTCGTATGCGTACACTTTATGTGGCGTCGTGTCGATGTAGTACATGGTGGTGTTGTCCGGAGACCACGCCAGGCCGTTGGAGATCGTCACGCGCTCAACCTTCTTGGTCAGCGTGCCGTCGATGTCCAGACAGTACAGGTTGCCCTGGTCAGGTGCAAAAGTTTTGCTCATTGTACCTGAAACATACACACAGAGTGAAAACACCTTATTTCGAAGGCGGATAATTGTTTTAAGACACGAAACAGAAACACAAAGATTTTGTAGAAAAACAAATCAACAATAAAGCTTTTAACGGTATTCCAGTTATATCACGCCGTGTCAGCTTAATGTGGGTGGAAAGCCCAAAGTGATGCAGGTCTCAGACGTTTACCACTTCGGTGAAACCCACGGGCACGGGTAGGGTGCTGACAAACCTAAAAACATAATCAGGGCGAACCGGGATTCGAAACCACATTCATAGGTTTCTAGTGTGCCCAAGGGACACAATTCTGCACAGACAACTGAGCCACCCGTGCCCCCTAATAAAACAGAAGCAAGTGAGTAAGTATATTTTGTTTTACTCTGCAGTGAGCAATAACCCAAGTACGTTACGTCGGTCTAGGCCAGACAATCACGTCATTGCCCCAGCATGAACAACGTTGAACGCTGTCGAGAAACGATAGCGACCAGCTAGGTCGCATACTGAATATAAAACGTCAGAGAATAATCAGTCTTGATTATTTGCCGAAACAGATTAAATTGGGCTTTAAAGGCAAAATCACGAAAATGACGGATGACACCAGGTGTTTGGGAAAAGGGTCAGCATGATCAAACAGATAAATTGCACAAACAGGTACATTTGTGTTTGTTTGTAGCCTAACGCCACACAGCAGTACTCCTGCACTGAGAAAAACGCCCTGAACTTAATTTATCACAGCGGCCAGAAGGTTAGTAAACAGTGAATTTGCCTGCCTGGTAGATAGCACGAAGATGCTGAAGAAGTACATATCACTTATTAAATTAGTATCATTCACTACTTAAACCAAGCTGTTAAAAAAAGAATGTAAACACAACCAAAACATGTTTACGGATATGTTTCAATCCTAAACGGTATGCACATTTGGTGTCTTCCATCGAAACACGTTTAAGGTCTAAACAAATGAAATGAGCTATCGCCTCATAGCCTAATCGCAAAATCCACATAATCCAATCATGTTTAGAATATAAACGCCTTTAAAAATATTTAGAATTTTTATACCTTTAAATATGTTTAGATATTTTAGTTTAGAATTGCATGTTATCAGGCTAGGAGTCAAATATGGATGCGATGTATAATATATATTGAAATTAGATTTGCAGATTTCACAGGCACTTGCATTAGACATATACCACCAGGACTACAACGAACACGATACAAACAATATTAACAAAAAATGTAACCTACTTAACCGTTTTGAGTCAGTGACGCTAGGTGAGTGAGTGAGTGAGCGAGTATTGTTTTACGCCGCTTTTAGTATTCCAGTATTTTCCAGTAATATCACGGCGTGGGACACCAGTAATATCACGGCGTGGGACACCAGAAATGGGCTTCACAGATTGTTCCAATGTGGAAATTGAACCCGGGCCTTCGGCGTGATGAGCGCAGCTTTAACCACTATGCTACCCCATAAAAAGTACTAACTGATTAGAAAAGTCTACTAACATGCTAGTGTCTAAGTGGAGATTGAAATTCATTAAGTTAGTAAACTTTACAAACTACTTTTCGCAATGTGTCTGGTCGTGTATTCGAATCTAATCCACCGAGATTATGATCTTTCATCTATCAGAACCTTAACATCACCATCTGTTATAACATGCCCGACTTTGTAGTTTTGTGGTCTACGCCGATGGTTTGCCTCACTGTAAGCTTCCCCACAAGAACAAGCTGACAGGCCTTAAATACTGTTCAAATTGACGTTAAACGCCAACTGACTCACCTCCCCACACGCGTCCTTTAGGATCACATTTCCCATCATTCATCCTGTTGTTGCTTCCGGGGTCCACTTCCGCCAGCTTGGTGACGGTCTTGGTGTTCCAGTCAACAGCTGATATGGTGAGATCCAGTCCCACCACCAGACCCCCTTTACTGCGGGGCACGACAAACCCTACAGCTCCATCTGCAACGTTGAAAACAACAACATACATGCACACAACACGCACCAGAAGCAGACCCAATGGCACCTCAGTACCCTTAAACTTGCCCTCCAGGAAGACGCATCATAATCCGTCTGGACTTCAGCAAAACCTTCCCTCCATGACTTCAGCTGACCTCATTAATCTAATCTTTAAATAGCATTTAGTGAGTGAGTGAGTTGGATTTAACGCCGCTTTTAACGGTATTCCAGTTACATCACGGCGTGTCAGCTTAATGTGGGAGGAAACCCCGAAGTGATGCAGGTCTCAGACGTTTACCACTTCGGTGAAACCCACGAGCACGGGTATGGTGCTGACAAACCTAGAAACATAATCGGGGCGAACCGGGATTCGAACCCACAATCATAGGTGTCTGGCATGCCCAAGGGACGCAACTCTGCACAGCGAATCGCCGCGGCTTAGACGACTGGGCCACCCGTGCCCCCAAAGAGCATTTAGAAGTGATACACATAAGAGAGAAACTTATTGAATGTTAACATCTTTATCATGAGGAACACAACGTTTCGGAGTATATGCTTACTCCTTCAGTCCTAACAAGAAGTAAATATATATTTCGAAGCGTTTTGTTCCTCATAACATTATAAAGAAAATGACATCCATAAGGCCTCGCTTTCATTAATCCATCTTTGATACCTGGTGTTCTTTAATGCAATTAAACAATCAAACAGAAAGTCACATGCTTCTTGCTTCCAAAGTTCTATGAACTTCCGGTGTAACGACAAACCTCTGTCTCACAGTCCTCCCGCATCCCACAATAACATCCCTTCTGCTAAACATGCCTCACGCAATATAATTTTAAGAAATATCGTTACCTGTATAAGGCAGTCGAATAATAACCTTTATTTTCAATCTCAGCCATGACAGCCTCGCTCACAATGTTTTCAAATCTTTCGATCCGTGATCGACCTTGACATTTTGCATGACCTTGACATACAGCAGGTGTTGAAGAAAAGTGTTTTTATTGTATCCTTCAATCACTTAAAACTGGTTGAACTGCTTATGAATAATTACCCAATGGATTACCTGAATAAGTACTCCCAAGTTCTGCACTATGTTTTACAAAATGATCTGTGCTGACTTGGTTGAATGGCAGCCAAAGTCTAATCCACTCTTCATCACAGCTTATTGGTGAGATTTGTTAAATTTGTCAGCTTTGTTCAAATTCCTATCAAAATGACTCAAATCATGGTTTGACCTTGACATTCAAGCTTTGTCAGTCACACGCAAGAGCACTTCAACTTCAAACTAATTTCGGTTTACAAATATGAAGTAACCACTCTATACTTTCAATATTGCATAAATGAAATACCTTCATGTGACCTTAGTATATTAATAGCTGTTTACTAGCTTTTTACAGATTATGAAATGTCTATTTTTTATGAATTCAATTCAAGTCATAAAAACTAAAAATATCCTGTCAAGAGGCTATTTGTTCACACAATGCGACCTTAACTTCAAGGTCACTAAATCATTACAGGAGAATTCCCCATGGGCATACCTATTCAAAACATCTGCTTGAGAACACTATTTGTGTCGACAGTAAAGCTTTAGCAATCACATTAAACAGTTTCCCATAACACGAAGCTGTTCATATCAAGAACAGAGAAACCAGATGTTCAACAGTCAAAACACAAATGTTCAGGATGTCTAATCAGGTCAACTAGGCAAAGTCTTCACACAGGTTTATTTGGTTATTATCTGCTGATATAATAATAATAATAATAATGATAATAAAAAAAATAATTGGCCTTGATAAATCCAATGAAATCATTTATATCATTGAATTTTCTGTCCTGCTTCATTTGGTAAATAACCAACTTTTACTTAAAGGCAGATAGAAGTAAACAGTGTATGTTCAGCAAGATACACTGGTCGTAGAGTTCCGTCTTCCTGTTAATTCTACAGGAGTCAGAAAACCATCTACACGGGAGCTTGCTTAAACAGTTCACTAAATGTCATGTCGATGACAAACTTACTGAGCTGGATCATGTCGTTGGTGCCGGTGGCGGGGTTGTATCTGAAGATCTTGCCGTTGTTGATGTCGATGAACAATAACGTCTGGGTGGCGTCGTCCCAGTGAGGCCCCTCCCCAACCGTGGTCGCCACATTCTTCAACACAGTCTCCACCTTGTACGACATCGTTGATCGGCTTCTGACGCTCAATATGTGATATTCCTTAAACCTGGCAGATAAGTGAATGTTTTATAGTAAAGCCCTAACCTTTGGGGGGAGATTCAGATGTAGGCTAGACGCTTGACCGCGTCCGTGGTCTAGTGGACAGAGCCCTGCCAGGAGAGAGGACGTATTGTGGTTCGATCCCCGGCCGCGTCATACCCAAATCGATAACTTATGGTACTTGTTATTTCTCTACCTGGAGCTCGGAATTCAGGGGAAACAAGGACAGGTCGGTTAAAATTATGTGCGCAGTTTACTGTGTTTGAGTGGTGTCCGCACTAAAACCCGCACTGGGGTCGTGTGTACGTGCGTGCGAAGTGGTGTGAAGAGCCATGCTAACTTGCTGTACAGAGTTACGCCCCTTAGGCTGCTGATTGTTCGATTGAATGCCAGATTCACCATGATATGATCCTAGTTTGTCATCACCAGATCCGTACCCGAAGGCCAACATCTGAGAACTGTGTTACTGTCGCCTTTCATTCCGCACAGAGGTGACAAGTGGTGATATAAAATGAAATATTGTTTAAGTCGTGATACAACTGAAATACTGTTTGAATCGTGATATAATTGACATTCTGTTTAGATCGTGATATACTGACATACTGTTTAGATCGTGATACACTGACATACAGTTTAGATCGTGATATACTGACATACTGTTTAAGTCGTGATATAACTGAAATACTGTTTAAATCGTGATATAACTGACATATTGTTTAAATCGTGATATAACTGTAATACTGTTAAAGTCGTGATATAACTGACATACTGTTTAGATCGTGATATACTGACATACAGTTTAGATCGTGATATAACTGACATACTGTTTAAGTCGTGATATAACTGAAATACTGTTTAAATCGTGATATAACTGACATATTGTTTAAATCGTGATATAACTGACATATTGTTTAAATCGTGATATAACTGACATACTGTTTAGATCGTGATATAACTGACATACTGTTTCGATCCTCATATAACTGACATACAGTTTAGATGCTGATTTAAGTGACAAACTGTTTAGATCCTGATATAACGGGCATACTGTTTAGATCCTGATATAACTGACATACTGTTTAGATCATGATATAACTGACATACTGTTTAGATCATGATATAACTGACATACTGTTTAGATCCTGATATAACTGACATACTGTTTAGATCATGATATAACTGACATACTGTTTAGATCATGATATAACTGACATACAGTTTAGATCCTGATATAACTGACATACTGTTTAGATCCTGATATAACTGACATACAGTTTAGATGCTGATTTTAGTGACACACTGTTTAGATCGTGATATAACTGAAACAATGTTTATATCGTGATATCACTGGCATACTTTTAAAGTCGTGATAAAACTGCCATACTGTTTAAGTCGTGATATAACTGAAATACTGTTTAAAGTGGCGTTTAACCTAACTCATTCCCCCCAACGCTAGATCTTACTGAAAATGAAAGAGTTTCATAAACTCCTTCCAAACTCCTTGTTCTCAAGAAGACAGATGGCTCTATTTACTCTGACAAGCGATAGATCTTTGAAATATCAGATGATGACTGTGCGGTAACTACAGAAAGTGGCGATATGTTGTATGGCTGCGCAAAAAAATGGCAATATACAATGAAGAAATTGTACCTACTTGAGACGATGAAGGTTGTGCGGCGAATGTCAGTTACCAGCTATATTTGATATAAGTATCTATCCGGCATATCATTTAACCTGTCACACCACGAAGGCATGGACAGTACACACCAGCCATATAAACAGAGACGTATTCACGTATCGTTATCAGGCCAGTGTGACCCCTACTGAAGTCACGCGTAGTCCCTGTACTCAAGGCTACTGACCTATCTAATGACTTTATTATAAACTGACGTCCAAAAGAAACTTTACCAACTGAAAATATAAATTTCAGACAAAGTATAAATTTTTTTTCGATGAAGTCTATCTAAAACACATAACCTAAATACAACAATAGTGTATGCAGAAAATGTTAATCGTCTGTTACATGTTTGCGAGATAACACGCGAAAAAGTGAAAAACACGTGCACCACGGACAACTGCAAATGCACGTGCGGGTAAGGGTATAAAACGATTGCAACGGCAAGTCAGATATCCACATTGAAAAAAAAAAACACAAAAGAAATGCCACGACTCACAGTCGAACAACATGAACGAGCCTTGGGTATGGTACAGATGGGAGCCACCCACGCCCATATTGCACGAACCTTCGGTTTCTCCCGTGTTGCCGTTACCAACTTGATGCAACGTTACAGACAGACAGGGCGGACCGCTGACAGACCAAGAACAGGCAGACCCAGGGTGACCACGCCCCATGATGACCGGTACTTCCGTACCTTGCACCTCCGCAATCGCTTCCTGACAGTGACGTCATCGGCGACAAATGCCTTAGGTCACAGGTTTAGGTTTAGGTTTGACAGCGCAACATCGTCGTCTTCGATTGAGATGGGTCCGGACTGTACGACGTTGGCAACGACGTGACTGGCAGAGGGTTGTCATCACTGACGAAAGTCTATTCTGTTTGTTTAGGGCTGATGGAAGACATCGTGTTTACCGCCGAAGGGGAGCGAACGGCGGCGTGTTGCGTGCAGGAGGTCGTACCATATGGTGGAGGGAGTGTCATGGTGTGGGGAGGGATCTGTGGGCAGGAGAGGACGCCGCTGGTCATCGTTGACGGAAACTTGACAGCTCAGCGTTACATGGATAACATTCTTCGTCCAGTTGTCCTACCATTTCTCCAACAGCAGCCACGTGGTGTCATCTATCAGCATGACAACGCTAGAGCCCATACAGCCAGAATTGTCACTAACTTCCTCGCAGCATACAACGTCAACGTCCTGCCATGGCCTGCACGCTCACCCGACATGTCCCCCATAGAACACCTCTGGGACTTGATGGATCGTCGTGTTCGACAACGACCACACTCTCCAGCCAACCGGCAAGAACTGATCTTGGCCCTCCAAGTAGAATGGCGTCAAATCCCACGTGACCTCATCAGACGACTGACTTTTTCTGTGCGTCGAAGAGTTTTTGCGTGTATTGAGGCATTTGGTGGTCACACACGCTACTAATGACTTGTTATTGAACGTGAGCGATTGTTTATGTACTCTGCCTATTGTCCATGATTCTGAAAGCTCGAGTTTTGTACCACACCCAACTTTGGGGGGCTCCGACGTCATTCTCGGTCGCGGTATGATTGTCATTTTCAGTGTTGATTATGTTGATATATTGATCTTCTAAATACACTTTACTTCATGCATGTATTTTTTAATTTTTTTTTAGCATGATTTCAAACTCTGGTAAAGTTTCTTTTGGACGTCAGTTTATATGGATATATTCGTGAACATGTTATGTTTGGAACAGACGCGTTACGAAATTCAAGCAGTTTTTATTATCAACAATGATCCAACTTCATATCTTATTACATATTGTCCATTTCGCCGAGCCAAATTGTCACGTATCCAAATTGCGTGGATCGATGCTCTTGTCAATCACTGGATTGTCTGATCCAGACTCGATTATTTACAGACCGCCGTCAAACAGCAGGACAATTGCTGAGAGCGGCGTTCAAAACAACAAACACACAACAACATATATTATAGACCTTTGAATGACAACGGGGTCCAATTTTGCAGCAAGGCAAAATAATTTTGTCTTATGTTATCATAATGCGGACACTCACGCAGGTAAAGCTGAATAGTCAAAGTCAAGTCAAAGATGTTTATTGTATCAAAGGCCATCGGCCCATATACAAGTTCATATAAATACATAATGAAATAAATAATGCTGAATAGTGTCAGTTGCATTATCACCACTGTGGCCACACGGAGGGGATACTTCCTTATCAACAAAACTTTGTAGGCGTTATTGCACAGGGACCATTTTACAAGCTTGTTGAACGCAGAGGCAGCGTCGTATGTCGTCCAGGAGAACCAACATCCCGCAACGGTTGCCATTTAAAGGAGACCACCCACAATAGCTTCTTCGAAATGTCTTTGGCAAGGCCTGAATTCAGATATATGAACGTCCCCCTTTAGCCCGACCCAGCAGGATTGCTTGCTATTTCATTACCCTGCAAGCCGACATGAGCTGGAACCAACATAACACAGCACAATCAGACCTGGCACCAAGACACTCTGATGGCACCCCTATCAAGTCCAACCTCAAGTTTCATTAACGGCATTTATATCAATCTAGCTGATAACACAATTAGGCAATGTCTCAATACAATGAGGGGGCACGGGTGGCCCAGTCGTCTAAGGCGCCGCGATTCGCTGTGCAGAGTTGCGTCCCTTGGGTACGCCAGAAACCTATGATTGTGGGATCGAATCCCGGGTCGCCCCAATTATGTTTCTAGGTTTGTCAGCACCATACCCGTTCTCGTGGGTTTCACCGAAGTGGTAAACGTCTGAGACCTGCATCACTTCGGGCTTTCCTCCCACATTAAGCTGACACGCCGTGATATAACTGTAATACTGTTAAAAGTATATATATCACTGCAGTGAAAAATAAACTGACGTCCAAAAGAAACTTTACCAACTGAAAATATAAATTTCAGACAAAGTATAATTTTTTTTTCGATGAAGTCTATCTAAAACACATAACCTAAATACAACAATAGTGTATGCAGAAAATGTTAATCGTCTGTTACATGTTTGCGAGATAACACGCGAAAAAGTGAAAAACACGTGCACCACGGACAACTGCAAATGCACGTGCGGGTAAGGGTATAAAACGATTGCAACGGCAAGTCAGACATCCACATTGAAAAAAAATCACAAAAGAAATGCCACGACTCATAGTCGAACAACATGAACGAGCCTTGGGTATGGTACATATGGGAGCCACCCACATCAATATCGCACGAACCTTCGGTTTCTCCCTGTGCCGTTACCAACTTGATGCAACGTTACAGACAGACAGGGCGGACCGCTGACAGGCCAAGAACAGGCAGACCCAGGGTGACCACGCCCCATGATGACCGATACTTGCGTACCTTGCACCTCCGAAATCGCTTCCTGACAGTGACGTCATCGGCGACAAATGTTAGTCGACAGACCGTGGCCAGGAGACTCAGGGCTCATGGAATCAGGGCTTTTAGACCATACAGAGGACAGCTATTGACAGCGCAACATCGTCGTCTGCGATTTAGATGGGCCCGGACTGTACGACGTTGGCAACGACGTGACTGGCAGAGGGTTGTCTTCACTGACGAAAGTCGATTCTGTATGTTTAGGGCTGATGGAAGACAACGTGTTTACCGCCGAAGGGGTGAACGAACGGCGGCGTGTTGCGTACCATTTGGTGGAGGGAGTGTCATGGGGGGGATCTGTGGGCAGGAGAGGACACCGCTGGTAATCGTTGACGGGAACTTGACAGCTCAGCGTTACATGGATAACATTCTTCGTCCAGTTGTCCTACCATTTCTCCAACAGCAGCCACGTGGTGTCATTTATCAACATGACAACGCTAGAGCCCATACAGCCAGAATTGTCACTAACTTCCTCGCAGCATACAACGTCAGCGTCCTGCCATGGCCTGCACGCTCACCCGACATGTCTCCCATAGAACACCTCTGGGACTTGATGGATCGTCGTGTTCGACAACGACCACACTCTCCAGCCAACCGGCAAGAACTGATCTTGGCCCTCCAAGAAGAATGGCGTCAAATCCCACGTGACCTCATCAGACGACTGACTTTTTCTATGCGTCGAAGAGTTTTTGCGTGTATTGAGGCATTTGGTGGTCACACACGCTACTAATGACTTGTTATTGAACGTGAGCAATTGTTTATGTACTCCGCCTATTGTCCATGATTCTGAAAGCTCGAGTTTTGTACCACACCCAACTTTGGGGGGCTCCGACGTCATTCTCGGTCGCGGTATGATTGTCATTTTCAGTGTTGATTATGTTGATATATTGATCTTCTCAATACACTTTACTTCATGCATGTATTTTTAAATTTTTTTTTAGCATGATTTCAAACTCTGGGAAAGTTTCTATTGGACGTCAGTTTATTAATTGTCCGTAGTGTTTATTCGCAATAAGCCAGCCACAGGGGGTATACTCTATCAGGTGCCTGTGCTGACAAGATAGGTACACGTATAGTGGAAGCGTAGATAATTGAGTTCTTATAATGTCTGAGCAAAGTTTGAATAAACTGCATAAAGAAATAAATATAATTGTCTATAACAAATCTACCCAATGGTCAAAACAAAACAGATTGGAAACGGATATATTGAGGGTTTTCTTGTCTGTCATCATCTTCCCCAGGCAAGGGCGTTAACTGACTATAAAAATCCAGTTTTCACTCTTGCCAAATTAGGCTTGTATTATGGAGTTATATTTTGGCTGGACTTACGATTCCAATCAAAATCGCGCAACGAAATCGAAATCCGGTTCGTGAACTGTCATGCAGATTTCGGTCGATTGCAGTATTTGTAAAGCATGTGCACCGCCAACTTGTTGTCAACAGTTAATTTCCAAATCTTTTCATGTTTTTAATCAAGGTGCTCACGTGACTGGATGCGCTTCACTGGTGGTGTTACGATCGAGCCCAGGAATTCCATCCCAGTTCGGCAAGGGTGGAAACTGGACTTATAGTCATATAACACTCTTGCCTCGGGAAGATGGTCTCTCATTGATTTCTGTCCCTGTCGCTCGCTACCCTCATCCCTGGTAGATATTAGCTGGGCTGCCTTTTGCATCAAGTCCGGTAACTCTGAACAACGACCCTGCTAGCGATTCTGTTGTCTGGAACTCGCTCTCTGGGATTCCTTCTCTCAAGCTGGTCACGTACAACTCATCTAGGTTCTTCCCTCCCCACGCCACGGACGTGATCTTTGTAGCGTTTGGCAGGGAAACCTGTAGGAGCGGTGCCGCTGAAGCAGATTGTACACAAGACTGTAATTTCTATAAGATCTGTGAAATCATTTTCTGAAATGTATGGTACATAGTTTCATCCTTGGGGACTCGCAATTGTTCTACGCACTTCCGGGGCGGTCGGGTGGCCTAGTGGTTAAAGCGTTCGCTCGTCACGCCGAAGACCCAGGTTCGATTCCCGACATGGGTACAATGTGTGAAGCCCATTTCTGGTGACCCCCGCCGTGATATTGCTGGAATATTGCTAAAAGCGGCGTAAAACCATACTCACTCACTATCTCACTCACTCTACGCCCTTCCCAAGATCGGGTTGTTAGTTTTTGTTTTTGTTTTTTTGTTTAACGCCGCACTCAGCAATATTCCAGGTATATAACGGCGGTCTGTAAATAATCGAGTCTGGACAAGACAATCCAGTGATTGACATCATGAGCATCGATCCACGCAATTTGGATACGATGACATGCGAGCATGACAATCCGATTCCGTTAGTCGCCTCTTACGACAAGTAACTCCTTTCATATTGAAGTCTTGACTTGTAATGTCATAACTGAGATTTCAAATGTTAAGGTTTAGCTAACTCTTAAAATCACGAAAATAATGTTGTTTAGGTTACCTTGTTCATACGCGTTGGGACTTCACAATACCATGACAGTCGTGTCTCTTTAGTAACAGTTATACAACAGAGACATTCCTTTGTTTCCTAAGGAAAACTGGAAAAATACACGAGTAAAACTACTTCGTATTAAAATTATTTGCCTACCTGTTTTAGGATCAAATTTGGCAACCATTCCACCTCTAAAGCAGGCAACCCACAGATTGCCGTCCGTGTCAATAGTCATGCCATCAGGGCCGGGGACGTTGCCTTTAAACTCCGGCACGGCGTCAAAGTCTACAGCCACCCTCTGATTGGCTGCAATGAAACATCAGTTTCAAATTTACCCAGGGTGACTGGAACCTATAGCCTTTGGTCATCCTCTCAACATCAATATTTCCGACTGACCGATCAGAAAAACTCACAGGAATGTTGTTAATAAGACATTAATGAGATATCGCACTCTCCATTGAACAGTGTCGTAAGTCTGCCTCGATACATAACCAAACATCATTGCTTGTGCTCTTCCCTTAGACAAAATGAACCTTAGCAAAGAGAGCAATTAATGTCGCAATCAAGAACAATAATACTAACAATATATATTATATAAAGAAGAAGAAGAACTCATCATCTGATGCTGACGAGATGCTGGACTCTATTCTTTCAATACGATGGTTCGGTCTAGTTACTTGTAAGATCAGAGTAATAATAGGTCTTCAGCAACCCATGGTGCCATAAAAGGCGACTATGCTTGTCGTAAGAGGCGACCAACGGGATCGGGTGGTCAGGCTCTCTGACTTGGTTGAAGCATGTCATCGATCCCAATTGCGTGGATCGATGCTCATATTGTCAAGCTCTGGATTGTCTGGTACAGATTCGATTATTTACAGACCGCCTTCATATAGCTTGAATATTGCTGAGTGCGGCGTTGAACAAAAATCCCAAACAAACAAGACTTGTACCATTTTATAAGTAGTGACAGTGGCATCCAACAATCATCATGTCTTCATTGATATAACAGCTTTGAACTGCTAGGCAAAACGTGGCATTGTTTGTAACTTTCAATTGCAGACACATCAAAGGCTCGCGATGTAGCATAACGAAACTTGCATTTCAGTTATCAAACTTCAAAGTCTATGTAACTTACATATATTTCCAGTGTTGATGTCGTAGTCGAATGCGTACACTTTGTGTGGTCTCGAGTCGTTGTAGTACATGGTGGTGTTGTCCGGAGACCACGCCAGGCCGTTAGAGACTGTCACGTGCTCAACCTTCTTGGTCAGTGTACCGTCAATGTCCAAACAGTACAGGTTGCCTTGCTCAGCTTCTTTACTCCATGTACCTGAAACAAACACACTCACATCGTATCTGTTTGTTTGTTTGTTGTTTAACGCCGCACACAGCAATAGTCCAGGTATATGGCAGGGTAGAATAGGTCTTGAACAAACCATGCTTGTCGTAAGAGGCGACTAACGCGATCGGGTGGTCAGGCTCGCTGACTAGGTTGAACATGTCAGCGTATCCCAATTGCGTGGATCGATGCTTATGTTGTCAATCACTGGGTGGTATGTCCAGACTCGATTATTTACAGACCGCCGCTGTATGGTTAGAATATTGCTGAGTGCGGCGTTAAACAAAAAATAAAAGTACATTTATACACGGCAAAGGGGCACCAATGGGTAACTTAGAGTTCCGCCCCTTTGCTGACCGGATCTGCTGGTCGTGTGTTCGAATCCTATATCAGCCCAGATTATGATCGTTAATCTGTCAGAACCTGAATCTCACTATCTGCTATGACGTCAATACCTGTTCTTGCAGTTTTAAAGAAATGGCTCACTTTAAGTTTTCACACAATAGGCTGCCCTAAATGCTGTTAAACACCAACTCACTCACCTCCCCACAGACGTCCTTTTGGATCACATTTCCCATCATTCATCCTGTTGTTGCTTTTTCCGGGGTCCACTTCCGCCAACTTGGTGACGGTCTTGGTGTTCCAGTCAACAGCTGAGAAGGTGAGATCCAGTCCCACCACCAGACCCCCTTTACTGCGGGGCACGACAAACCCTACAGTTCCATCTGTAACGTTGAAAACAACAACATACATGCACACAACACGCACAAGAAGCAGACCAAATGGCACCTCAGTACCCTTAAACTTGTCCTCCAGGAAGACGCATCATAATCCGTCTGGACTTCAGCAAAACCAGCAGTAGACCTCATTAATCTAGTCTTTAAATAGCATCTAGAAGTGATAAACATAAGAGAGAAACTTTATGGATGTTAACTTCTTTATCATGAGGAACACAACGTTTCGGAGTATATGCTTACTAACAACATACATGCACACAACACGCACCAGAAGCACACGCAATGGCACCTCGGTACCCTATTACATTCCCTCCAGGAACACGCATCATAATCCGTCTTGACTTCAGGAAATCCGACCTCATTAATCTTGCGTTCTCGCGATCTCCAAAGCTCGAGATCGCGAGAATGCGAGAACATCTCGACCTTTGGAAACGAGTTAAATATGCCAAAAATGCGAGAGTGCGAGAACGCGAGAATGTCCATTAAAATATTCCTGTAATGTACCCATCAATTCCTTAAAAATGTTCGAAAATCTTATGAATTAAGTATTTCCATGTTTCGCACCATCTGTTACACATTGATAAATGTTGCCTTGACCTCTGAATGTCAGCCAAATTCTAATTCGCTCTTGATCCCACTCTTTTAATCAAGTTTGTTATATTTGTCAGTTTTAGTCAAATTTCGGATTGACGTTGACATTCAATCTTAAACAGACCCGTTTAATCCTTCAATGTGACCTAGCCATTTTCATAGCTTAATTTGTCTCCTATTGCCTACAGTGCACTTTGCCTACAGTGTCATTATAACAAATTCATGATTCAGCTTGCTCATACAGTGCACTAAATGTCATGGTGATGACAAACTTACTGAGCTGGATCATGTCGTTGGTGCCGGTGACGGGGTTGTATCTGAAGATCTGGCCGTTGCTGATGTCGACAAACAACAACGTCTGAGTAGCGTCGTCCCAGTGAGGTGCTTCCCCGACCTTGGACGCCACATTTTTCAACACAGTCTCCACCTTGTACGACATTGTTGGTCGCCTTCTGACACTCAATTTGGGATGCTCCTAAAACTCAAGAGTACATCCATAGCCTTTGAGTGGAGTTTCAGATATGCGCCTGGCCGCTCCCGTGGTCTAGTGGATAAGGCGTCTACCCGCAGAGCGGAAGGTCTGAGGTTCGATCCCAGACCGCATCATACCAAAAACGTTAAAATATGATACTTGCTATTACCCTACCAGGCGCTGGGCAAAAAGGGAGTGAGTGAGTGAGTGAGTTGGGTTTAACGCCGCTTTTAACAGTATTCCAGTTATATCACGGCGTGTCAGCTTAATGTGGGAGGAAAGCCCGAAGTGATGCAGGTCTCAGACGTTTACCACTTCGGTGAAACCCACGAGCACGGGTATGGTGCTGACAAACCTAGAAACATAATCGGGGCGAATCAGGATTCGAACCCACAACCAAGGGACGCAACTCTGCACAGCGAATCGCGGCGCCTTAGACGACTGGGCCACCCGTGCCCCCCAAAAGGGAGTGAACAAGGCCTGGCCAGTATACTGTATATGAGTGCTGTATTCGCAGTGTTAAACTGCGGAATGGTATCTCAGTGGGCTAGCACTATAAAACCGGATTTTGCCCGCTCTAGTACAAGCACGTACGCACGCACGCACGCACGCACGCACGCACGCACGCACGCACGCACATACACACACATTCATCGCTTTAGAAGTGAAGAAATCGTGAACGCTACGACGCTAAACCCTTTTTCGCCTGACCACCTCAGCTATACGCAAGTTATTGTCACCCTTTACATGTGATGGGGGCATAATGGCATCGAGCGGTATGCTAACTCGCTGATCTGATCAGGATCTGTTGATTGTTCGTTTGAATGCCAGATTCACCCTGACATGATCCTAGTTTGTCATCACCAGATCCGTGCCCGTAGGCCAACATCTCTTACCCGTGTTACTGTTGCCTTTCATCCCGCACAGAGGTGACACGTGGTGATATAAAATGAAATATTGTTTAAGTCGTGATATAACTGAAATGTTGCTTTTAGCTGTGATATAAACTGAAGTACAATCCAAATCGGCGTTTAAAACGCTAGATTTTACTGAAACTAACCAGTGTTCACAAACTCCTCCCAAAGAGCTCCAGGGAAGACAGCTGACCCTATTAATGCTATTTACCGTATTAACTCTGACAACCAACAGACATAACATCAGGGTATGACTGTGCATTAACAACATACAATCCCCTATTGCAATATGAAGTATAAAGTTCAAGGAAGAAATTGTATACCTACTGGAGGCGATCCTGGTTGTGCGGCTACTGTCAGTCATTAGCTATGTTTGTATAGCTATCTATATCTATCAGACATATCATTGAACCTGTTAAAAAACATGACGTCGTGCCACACTTCAGATAGTCATGAGTGAGTAAGTGAGTGTGGTTTTACGCCGCATTTAGCAATATTCCAGCATTATCACGGCGGGGGACACCAGAAATGGGCTTCACATATTGTACCCATGTGGGGAATCGAACCCGGGTCTTCCGCGTGACGAGCGAACGCTTTAACCTCTAGGCTACCCGACCGCCCCAAGGTAGCCCCACGTTAACTATATACAGGCAGAGAATGTCCAGAGAATATATGCTTGTGAACATGCTGACTTTGGAACAGACGATGTTACCAAGTGAAAAAATCTATCTTCCAGCAGCTGTTCTGATAAATAATTATACTTATCTAAGTAACGTGGTATACATTTTACCAAGCCGAGTGGCGCGTTTTTCAAATTTGGGATTGAGAAAATATTATTCATGCCATTCGTGCCATTCATCCAACAACAGCCTAATGGTGTCATTTTCCTGCACGATAATGCGAGGCCTCACACGGCAAGGCTGACCCAGAACCTCCTAGCAAACGCCAACATTCACGTTTTACCATGGCCGGCATGTTCACCGGACATGAACCCAATCGAACACATGTGGGTCATTCTCGGCCGCAAATCAGGAATCGCCCTGTGCCTCCAGTTAACCTCCAGGAATTGGAAAAATGCCTCCTCCTCCATGAATGGCAAGTTTTTTTGTAATGTCCTTTCAAACACGTGGTATCGTTTCTTTTGGACATTAGTTTATATGTACATTATGCTATGACGTGTAATATTTCGTTCTGTTTCCATGTTCTGAGTTACAGATCTCCATCAGTTGTGAAGTTGGTAAGCGGCGACTAAAGGGATCGGGTGTCAGGCTCACTGACTTGGTTGATGCATGTCATCGTATCCCACCTGGACAGGTCAATGCTCATGATATAAAACACTGTATTGCCTGGTCTAGACTCGATTATTTACAGACCGCCGTTATATAGCTGGAATATGACTGAGTAGGGCGTTAAACAACAAACAAACATTTATGACTGAGATCTGAAGACGAGAGCTTCAGAGTTAGAGCAAAACTCAACACGATGCCAACTGCATAGTGTCGGTCCCATCATGTGACTTCTTAACAGAGGTGAGGTGAAATGGGGTTTAACGTCGCGTCCAAGATTATTGCACTTATATAGCGACGTGCATGTACGTGTGTGTGTTTGTGTGGCTGCTTGTACTAGTCCGGACTGATGCCGATTTATAGTGCTAGCTCACTTAGATACCATGTCGCAGTTTAACATGAATACCCCACTCAGACACAGTATACTGACTCCGAGCCGACCGGTCCTTGTTTTAGCCCCTTAATGCCGAGCGCCAGACAGGGTAACAACAAGTGCCATCTTTTAACGTCTTTTGGTATGACGCGGTCGGGGATCGAACCCCGGACCTTCCGCTCTCCGGGCGGACGCTCTACCACAAGACCACGGAGGCGGTCCTTCTTAACAGAAGATGTTGACTCTGTGGTGATTGCCGCACTCCTGACTGCAAATGCAACGGTCCACACCATGACCACACATGTAGTAGCTCAGCCAAAGTCGAGAAAGTAAAGCGACCAACTATATCCTCCGCCGGCTCAAGTGAGGGCAAGTCCAGGTGGAGAGACAATGTGGCGGCTACCAAGGTCACAGGGAAGGATCTCTTGCTGCAGCTACTGGAATGCATTACTGAGTTAAGATTTATGATGTTATTAATTAAGTCGGGACGGAATTTTTAAATATTTGATTTGATTTGTTGTACAGAACCTAAAGAATCTGAAATGATGTGAACGTGTTTGTGGTTAAGACTCTAGGCTTGATGGAGGGTATAGCCAAGAGGGAGGGAGTATGGTTTTACGCCGCTTTTAGCAATATTCCAGCAACATCACGGCGGGGGGCACCAGAAATGGGCTTCACACATTGTACCCATGTCGGGAATCGAACCCGGGTCTTCGGCGTGACGAGCGAACGCTTTAACCTCTAGGCTACCCGACCGCCCCGGTATAGCCAAGAGTTCTGCAATGTTAGTGTGAGTATAATTTTTATAATGTTTAGTTAGTTGTTAGTTTGGTGATGTTTTTTGGTTGACTAACATGAATTCCTAGTCCTGTTGTTTTGTCTGAGTTTATTCATGCATGTGTGTATATCCTCAACCGCAAAAGAAACGCAAGTCATGTATTTTGTTTGTGAAATGCACAAAATAGTTATTTGTGAAAAGAAATGTACACAAACGTAATGAGACACATTGAAGAAAAACGTTTCACTATTTACTTCATTCTGCGCATGTCGCACAACGCAGTCGTTTCGTCGCGTTTGACGATTTTTACACGTGCAGCGCAAATCACATGCAAAATGCATGCATTTACCCTCTTGTCCATCCTTTGTGAGCCACCAATAAAAAACACGAAGCATTTCACACTCGACATTGTTCGATAAACTGAACTCGTTGCCATTGGGATGATACAGGCCGGAACAACGTCAAATGCAGTGGCGTCTTGTGCCTACCATCACCAGATTGGTCGCAAGGCATCAACAGACAGGCAGTGTCCAAGACCGGCCTCGTTCTTGACGGCCGATGGTAATTACTCAAGGGCAGGACCGTGACATCCGGGTGACACATCTACGTGGCCAACAGCGACGAGCAACACAGACATCTGCAACCATTCAAGGTCCATGTCATCCCGTGTCAGCCGACACAGTTCGTCGTCGTCTAAGAGCGGGGGCAATCAGATGTCGTCGTCCTTACGTCGGTCCCATACTGACTCAACGTCGCCATCAACGTCTGCAGTATGTCCAACAGCAACTGCGTTGGCGACGTCAACAGTGGCAACAAGTTTTCAACTCAGACGAAACAAGGTTCAACCTTTCTCACTCCGATGACCGCATCAGAGTAATGAGCGACGTAATGGGAGTTACGCTGACTGCTGTGTCTTACAGGCGGGTGGGGGGGGGGGGGGGGGGGGAAAGAAGCATCATGGCGTGGGGAACCTTCAGTTATCATCACAGGACCCTCTACACGTGTTCCGTCAGCGTGTGACTGCTGACAGGTACAGGGATGATGTTCTTCGTAATCACGTCAGCCCTTTTCTTCCTTGGTCATCCTCAACTCCAGGTCTTTCAGGACAACGCTCGTCCCCATACAGCACGGGTCTCTATCGACTTCCTCCGAATAACATTCATGTTATGCCCTGGCAGTCTTTGTCATCAGACATGGCGTCAATTGAGCATTTCTGGGACGAGATTGGGAGACGTCTTCAGGCTGCAAGGCAGTCACATTCACTTCAGGAACTGGAAGCCTTTTTGTTGCGGGAATGGAACGGGATTCCTCAAATCTTCCTCCAAAGACTTATCGACTCAATGAGACGGCGATGTGCAGCCTCTATCGCAGCCAACGGAGGCCGCAAATTCTATTGATGGACACGACTGACACATGTCTGTGTGGGATACCCTTTTTTCGGTGGGATTGTTCAATAAAACAATCAACACTCATTTGTTTTCTCTGTTATGATTTCTTAATATTATCTTCATATCTTTTAATGGTCTTTACGTTATCCACATTTTATGTACAACTTCTGTTTCTTTTGCGGTTGAGTATATGTGTGTATGGTTGAGTGTGATTGTTGATTTTTCTGTTGTAGTTAGTTTTGGGAGTGTTTGGAAGGCTTTTTTTGTTTGTTTGTTTTTGGCTTACGCCGCCCTCAGCAATATTCCCACTATATGACGGCGGTCTGTAAATAATCGAGTCTGGACCAGACAATCCAGTGATTGACATCATGAGCATCGATCCACGCATTTGGGATAGGAGGGCATGTTTTGAAGGCAGTGTGGAGGGTTATGTCTGTTTCAGGTGATGGTTTATCTTGCATGTCTTTGTCCGTTAGTGATGCAAAGGTTATGTTTACTAGTTTATATTTACGTGTGAGTTTAAGGAGGTGGGTTAGGTTGGTTGGTTGGATGGTTGGTTTGTTGTTTAACGCCGCACTCAGCAATATTCAAGCTATATGACGGCGGTCTGTAAATATTCGAGTCTTGACCAGACAATCCAGTGATTAATATCATGAGCATCGATCCACGCAATTGGGATCGATGACATGCATCAACCAAGTCAGCTAGCCTGTCCACCCGATCCCGTTAGTCGCCTTTTACGACAAGCATAGTCGCCTTTTACGGCAAGCATGGGTTGCTGAAGACCTATTCTACCCCGGAATCTTCACGGGTCGGGTTAGGTACAGAGCTTGTGAGGGATTACAGAGCTTGTGAAGGATTATGGTTGAATTGTCTGAGTGTGAGTTCATTTGTGTTGTGGTATTTTATTTGAATAGTTTGACGATCGGCTATGTATATATATTGCAGCATAATATATTTACATGCTAAGGCATTAAGAATGTAACAATGCTTCCCGTCGAGCTAACATTTTATTAAGGGATTTGGCAGTATAATCCATGTTGCACATTAATAAACAGAAGTTGTGTACATCATATTAAAACGTATAGCTTATCCCCGAAACAGTGGGTCAACGTGTCTTGTAGAAAGAAGACCTATTAAGCGCCTAACACTTCTAATGATGTCAAGCAATCACACATTAAAATATACACCTGTCATATATTAGAATTAGTTATGTGTATGATATCCCTATCATGGGAGCGTGACTATAAACCATAACTCACTCACTCACTCACTATCATGGGAGCTGTATAGTAAAATTGCTTCCACCTTCTGTAAGGCGAAAGTTTGGCACGTGTGTGGCTTACAGGAGGGCTTCTAGTAGACAGACGAAACTCAAGATTTGACAGAATACATAAAAGGATCTCCTGTCTTTATTCGTGTGGAGCAGATTATCTGTCCCCATTGTTATGGTCGTTATAGAGCTGATACTGCTCTACCAGTCCAGATAAGATAACACAGCCAGGGTCAGATAACAATGGAACTCAATGCCGTTATACTTGAGAGTGTATATCACATTTGGCTGCACTTCTCGACACTTTTTGTATTATATACAGTGACATCATTCGTCTGTATATGGAAAAATGATACAAAGAATATGTAAGATATATCAGCTTATGTATGCCACTTGGCTCCCATCTCTTATTTCCGTCTCTTTAGATACACATCAACAAGTCAAATAGTATTTAACTGTTCAGGTTGTCAGTGAGTTTTCTGTGACTTGGATAACTGTCTCAGAAAAGAACAAATTGTCCGGGTTCCTCTGTTTCAAGGTTGGTACACATTTTCTGGGAACGCAGATAAATGAGTTCTTATAATGTCTGAGGACAGTTTATATACATCTAATTTAATGAATGTAATATAATTGCTGAAAGCATTGCCTATAACAAATCTACCCAAAGACCAAAACAAAACAGATATTGAGAGTTTGCTTGTCTTTAATTGATTTCTGTTCCTCTTCGCTCGCTACCCTCATCCCTGGTAGATATTAGCTTGGCTGCCTTTTGCATCAAGTCCGGTAACTCTGAACAACGACCCAGCTAGCGAGTCTGTTGTCTGGAACTCGCTGTCAGGGATTCCTTCTCTCAAGCTTGTCACGTACAACTCATCTAGGTTCTTCCCTCCCCACGCCACGGACGTGATCTTGGTAGCGTTAGGCAGGGAAACCTGTTGGAGTAATGACCCTGAAACAGATTGTACACAAGACTGTAATTTCTATAAGATCTGTGAAATCATTTTCTAAAATATACAGTACACAGTTACGTCCTTGAGGACTCGGGGCCGAGTATGTCGCCATTGTCATACGCCATTTAGTTTTGTTTGTTGTTTAACAACGCAGTCAGCACAGCAATATTCCAGCTATAAATAGTCGAGTCTGGACAAGACAATCCAATGATTGACATCATGAGCATCGATTCACGCTATTGATACGATGACATGCATCACCCACCCGATCCCGTTAGTCGCCTCTTTCCACAAGCATAGTCGCCTTTTACGGCAAGCATGGGTTGCTGAAGACCTATTGTATCCCTGATCTTCACTGGATGGTGGTTGTGCAATGGTGGATCTGGCCACTTGGGTCGTTGTTCAATCCATGCTACGGAATTCGCTGTCCCTGACTCAATTAACCAAAACCGTGACATAGCCGACATACTGCTGATTGAACCTTAACCAACATTTACCTTGTCAGTCCTTTCATATTGACGTCAAGAATTGTAATGTCATAACACAGATTTCAAGCGTTAAGGTTTTTCAAAATCCTCAAATTAAATTAATTTTGTTTAATGACCTTATTTATACGTATTGGTGGGGGAGGTCGGGTTGCCTAGTGGTTAAAGCGTTCGCTCGTCGATTCCCGACATGGGTATAATGTGTGAAGCCCATTTCTGGTGTCCCCCGCCGTAATATTGCTGGAATAATGCTAAGTCGTAAAACCATACTCACTCACTCACTCATACGTGTTGGGACTGCACACTTGCATGACCGTCGTGTCTCTTTAGTAACAGTTTTACAAGAGTTACATTGTTTTTTGTTTCCTAAGGAAAATAGAGAGTGAAACTATCTTATGTTAAAATTCTTTGCTCACCTGTTTTGGGATCAAATTTGGCTACCATTCCACCCCGGAAGCAAGCCACCCACAGATTGCCGTCCGTGTCAATAGTCATGCCATCAGGGCCGGGGACGTTGCCTTTAAACTCCGGCACGGCGTCAAAGTCTACAGCCACCCTCTGATTGGCTGCAATGAAACATCAGATTTATCTTTACCCAGGGTAACTGGAACCTATAACCTTTCGTCATCCTCTCAAACATCAATATTTCCGACTGACCAATCAGCAAAACTCACAGGACTGTTGTTTATAAGACATAAATGAGATATCGCACTCTCCATTGAACATCAATACAGACCCTAAAAGACGAACCGAACCAGAGCAATGAGAGACGTGATCTACGAATAGACGGGTATGCTGTTGAAGTTATATTCCGCTGTGCATATTACTCAAAAGAAGTTAAGGACCACCTGAGTATTTTATGATATAATAGCTAACCCGTCATTCAATGACAGATAAATGTCACAAACAACAACAATAATACTAACAGTATATAGATGGACAGAGGAAGAAGAAGAAGAAGAGTGAGTGAGTGAGTAATCAGTAGCATTTCAGTAATCAGACACTTAAAGTCTATGTGACTCACATATATTTCCAGTGTTGATGTCGTAGTCGAATGCGTACACTTTGTGTGGTCTCGAGTCGTTGTAGTACATGGTGGTGTTGTCCGGAGACCACGCCAGGCCGTTAGAGACTGTCACGTGCTCAACCTTCTTGGTCAGTGTACCGTCAATGTCCAAACAGTACAGGTTGCCTTGCTCAGCTTCTTTGCTATATGTACCTGAAACAAACACACTCACACCGTATTTGTTTGTTTGTTTGTTGTTTAAGGCCGCACACAGCAATATTCCACGTATATGACAGGGTAGAATAGGTCTTGAACAAACCATGCTTTCTGTAAGAGTCGACTATGCTCCATCAGTTGTGAAGTTGGTAAGCGGCGACTAACTGGATCGGGTGGTCACGCTGGCTGACTAGGTTGAAGCATGTCATCGTATCCCAATTGCGTGGATTGATGCTTATAATATTAATCACTGGATTGTCTAGTCCAGACGCGATTATTTACAGACTGCCGTAATATAGTTGGAATATTGTTGAGTGCGGGGTTAAACAACAAAAAATACACTTGTACACGGCAAAGGGGCACCAATGGGTAATTTAAAGTTGCGCTCCTTTGCTGACCGGATCTTCTGGTCGTGTGTTCGAATCCCATATCCGCCCAGATTATGATCGTTAATCTGTCAGAACCTGAATCTCACTACCTGCTATGACCTCAACAGCTGTTCTTGCAGTTTTACAGAACTGGTAAACGCCCATGATCTGTCTCCCTTTAAGATTTCACACAATAGGCTGCCTAAAATACTGTTAAACACCAACTCACTCACCTCCCCACAGACGTCCTTTTGGATCACATTTCCCATCATTCATCTTGTTGTTGCTTTTTCCGGGGTCCACTTCCGCCAGCTTGGTGACGGTCTTGGTGTTCCAGTCAACAGCTGAGAAGGTGAGATCTAGTCCCACCACCAGACCCCCTTTACTGCGGGGCACGACGAACCCTACAGTTCCATCTGTAACTTTGAAATAACAACATACATGCACAGAGCACGCACAAGAAGCAGTACCCTATTAATTCCCTTCAGGAAGACGCGACGTAATCCGTCTGGACTTCAGCAGATCAGCTGACCTCATTACTCTATCTTTGATCCCTCTTATTCTTTAACGCATTGCAACGTGTCTCTACCTCAGCTAATAGAAAGGTTACAAGCAAACCCTTTTCGGCTTGGGAATTAACCTTTCTTTTGCAATATGGCTCTACATCAGAAAGTCACATGGCTCTTGCTTCCAAACTTGTGGTGTAACAAAAAAAATATACTTCTGCTTTGGTAAATATATGCCCGGCGTAGTGTAACATACGAGAAATGTCCGTTAACATTCCTTCCTGTATTCCTTTAATGACATGCCTCCTGTATTCCTTTAAAGACATGTTTCCTGTATTCCTTTAATGACAACTTTCCTGTATTCCTTTAAAGACATCCTTCCTGTATTCCTGTGATTACATCCTTCCTGTATTCCTGTGATGACATCCTTCCTGTATTCCTTTAAAGACATGCTTCCTGTATTCCTGTGATGACATCCTTCCTGTATTCCTTTAAAGACATGCTTCCTGTATTCCTGTGATGACAGCCTTCATGTATTCCTTTAATGACAACCTTCCTGTATTCCTGTGATGACATCCTTCCTGTATTCCTTTAAAGACATGCTTCCTGTATTCCTGTGATGACATCCTTCCTGTACTCCTTTAATGACATCCTTCCTGTATTCCTGTGATGACATCCTTCCTGTATTCCTGTGATGACATCCTTCCTGTATTCCTTTAAATACATGCTTCCTGTATTTCTGTAATGACAACCTTCCTGTGTTCCTTTAAAGACATGCTTCCTGTATTCCTTTAATGACATCCTTCCTGTATTCCTTTAATGACATCCTTCCTGTATTCCTGTGATGACATCCTTCATGTATTCCTTTAATGACATCCTTCCTGTATTCCTGTGATGACATCCTTCCTGTATTCCTTTAAAGACATCCTTCCTGTATTCCTGTGATGACATCCTTCCTGTAAATTTGTCAGCTTTGATCAAATTCCTATTAAACAGTATCCAAGTAACCGATTGACCTTGACATTCAATCGTCGTCAGTCACCTTTCATCCTTTAATGTGACCTTGACATTGTTATAGCTACATTTTCCTGTTGCCTACAGTGACCTTTACCGACAGTGTTATCAAAACAAATTTATGGTTCAGGGCAATTAACAGCAATATCTTCACCCCTCTGCCGTAATGATCATATCCATGCAATGTCATTGTCAACAAACAAGGAATAATAAACGTTTAATGTATTATATAATTCAACACAATTAAAAAATGATAGTAAATATTTCACATTTCTCACAATGTAAAATCCCATATGAAAGACATTTGATCAAGTCATAAATACTCAAAATGTCCTGTGCAAATGCATTTTTCAGAGATATTGATCTTCAACGTCACACAATCATATTAAGGAATTTTTCGCAGTACTTACATATCAATTCAAAGCGTGTGCTTGAGAAAACTAATTTTGTCGACAGTACAGTTTTAGCAAACACACAAAACAGCTTCCCTTTACGAGGAGCTGTTCATGTCAAGAACAGACAAACTGCTTTATTTGGTAAATGGCCAACTTTTAGAGGCAGATGGAAGGCAACAGTGAATGTACAGCAAGATACGAAAGAAGAATTTAAGGCATTCCTCGCTATGATAAGAATGTTGGTAAAATGGATATTTAACCCTTTATTTCGTGTGGAATTTACACCCATATATAAGCAGGACACGTTAATACATGTGAATCACTCGTAACACCATCCATGCTGATAACTGTTAGCACACTGTTGGAGTGAGTGAGTATGGTTTTACGCCGCTTTGAGATATATTCCAGCAATATCACGGCGGGGGACACCAGAAATGGGCTTCACACATTGTGCCCATGTCGGGAATCGAACCCGGGTCTTCGGCGTGACGAGCAAACGCTTTAACCACTAGGCTACTGTTGGAAACTGGTCGCTGAAAACCATCTACACGGGAAGTATAAAGTTTTCTAAATGTCAGGTTGATCACAAACTTACTAAGCTGGATCATGTCGTTGGTGCCCGTGACGGGGTTGTATCTGAAGATCTGGCCGTTGATGATGTCGACAAACAACAACGTCTGAGTAGCGTCGTCCCAGTGAGGTCCCTCCCCGACCCTGGCCACATTCGTCAACACAGTCTCCACCTTGTACGACATCGTTGGTCGCCTTCTGACACCCAATTTGTGATGCTCCTAAAACTCAGAGTACATCCATAGCCTTTGAATGGAGTTTAAGATATGCGCCTGGCCGCTTCCGTGGTCTAGTGGATAAGGCGTCTACCCCCAGAGCGGAAGGTCAAATGTTTGATCCCAGACCGTGTCAAACCAAAACCGTTTAATTTTAGCACTTGCTGTGAACAAGGACTGGTAGGCTCGGAGTCAGTATACGTTATATGAGTGCTGTAATCATGTTAAAATGCGGAATGGTATCTCAGTTAGTTTGCACTATAAAACCGGATATTGCCTACACTAGTACAAGCACACACACGCACTTTCATTCACGTCCCTATAGAAGTGCAGACATCACCTGACCACCTATATATGCAGAGGTACGCCCCTTTGTCGTGATAGGATCTGCTGATTCACCCTGACATGATCCTAGTTTGTCATCACCAGATCCGTGCCCGTAGGCCAACATCTGAGACCTGTGTTACTGTCGCCTTTCATCCCGCACAGAGGTGACACGTGGTGATATAATTGAAATACTTTGTGCAAGTCGTGATATAACTCAAAGGCTGTTTAAATAGTGATATAACTGAAATGCTGTTGAAGTCCCGATGTAACTGAAATGCCGTTGAAGTCGTGATATAACTGAAATACTGTTTCAGCTCCAAAGTAGACAGGTAACACAATTAACTCTGACAAATTATATCTCTTTAAAACATGAGGTATGACTGTGCAAAAACTACAGACATACCCCTATTGAAATATGAAGTATAAAGTCTAAGGAAGAAATTGTATACCTACTGGAGACGATCCTGGTTGTGCGGCGACTGTCAGTTACCAGCTTTATATATGTTTAGATATCTATATCCATCGGGCATATAGTTAGACCTGTAAAAAAACATAGAGTGGCGTCGTACCACACTTCAGGTAGGCATAAACAGCCCCACATTAACTGTATACAGGGAGAGAATGTCGACATCAAGGTCAGGTTGACCCACACTGAATCCCAACTATATAGGTCATGTATATTCACTGTACTGAAGGCCACCGGCCTATATGAAGACTTTACTATATATAGATATGTTTGTGAACATGATGATTTTGGAACAGACGGTGTTACGTAGTAAAAACAAACGTAACGTGGTATACATTTTACCCAGCCACAAGGTGCGTTTTTTTTCAAATTTGGGATTGATAAAATATTTTTTATGCAAAGTGAATAGTCCGGGAGATATACGTGCTTCAAATCTCAATTAATTACATTTTCCAACCAATCAGATTTCAACGCACACATTCGTTGCAGGCATGATTAAAACGCCTTCGGTGATTTATTGCCATGCTCGGGGCGGTCGGGTAGCCTAGTGGTTAAAGCGTTCGCTCGTCACGCCGAAGACCCGACATGGGTACAATGTGTGAAGCCCATTTTTGGTGTCCCCCGCCGTGATATTGCTGGAATATTGCTAAAAGCGGCGTAAAACCATACTCACTCACTATTGCCATGCTAACACTGAGTGTACACATATACGCATCTGTGACGGAATGTTTGATCAGCGACATCCAGAACTAGGTGATCGGTATAACATGTGGGTCAGTGTGTTGTGATATGACATCAGACGTCTCGTGGTACGTATGTATAATGGACTCGCTAGACACGGTTTGTGATAAAAACGATTTCTAACTGCGACTCGTTAAACAGTCTGACTTAATAAGATGCATTAAAGATTCAAATCATCTTAATGCAAACACTCAAGATAGAACAGCTACATTTAACTTTACACAGTTCAGTGTTTTATGTTATCCAAGAGAATCTTCCCAGGAAGCTTTTATGTGGTGAGCGTGTCGCTTCCTCAGATAACATTTCATCCCACATCCCACATCCCACATCCCCATCCCATTCCGCCCCGGCCCGCCCCTCCCCACATCCCCATCCCCATCCTACCATCACCATCCAAACCATGCCCAGAGAGACGGAAACTGATGCGAAGTGATGCAGAAAACATAATCAAACAGTTGGACAGAATAAAGTTTATATAAAATGACATATTTACAAGATAAACTAGCTGACCAATCAGAAATAACTGATATGACAACTTGGAATGAATCATTGCATAAAGGAGAGATACACACGCTGATAGCAAACAATACAGGAACTGTTATAAGGAGCATTGTTTAACTTTGTCTGAATGAGTTATAGCTTGGACACTTGGGTAACATTGACGATAATAAAGGTTTTAATGCATGTTTGACCCATGACTGATTGCTGCCAGTGCTGATTAAGCTAACACCACGATGACTTTGCTTACTTTTTCTCAATAAGTACTTGGTCAACGTATGCTGATTTTCGGAATCGTTTACTGAAGTGTCCAAGCAAGAAAACTTTACGTAACATTTGAACGAAATGAATGAATCAGATGTCATCGATAGTTTGTTATTTTCCCGAGGCAAAAGAGTTAACTGACTTTAAAAGTCCAGTTTCAATCCTTGCCGAACTAGGCTGGAATTTCTGGGCTCGATCGTAGCCCCACCTATTACGAGTTATGTCCCTTCTATGTTTCACCTGTGGACCAACCAGATTCTACCTCTCGTATCACTTGCATATGCTTCAAACAAAATGGCGGCGCCCAGGCAAGTTGATCTGATCGATAATCAAGATCTATATTGTGATAAAACTAGTCTTACATCGCCAAGTGCACCCAATCACGTGAACACCTTGATTAAAAACATGAAAAGATTCAGAAAATATCTGCTGACAACGAGTTGGTGGTGCAAATGCTTTGCAAATCCTGCAAAGACTGAAATCAACATGACAGTTTACGAACCGGATTTCGATTTCGTTGCGTTATTTTGATTGGACTGTGTATAGACTCGTTAGTCCAGCCAAAATGTAACTCAATGATACCAGCCTAGTTCAGATAAATTCGTTGTCCACCGATACCTCGGGGCATATGGTGTGATGTACCCTGTGTGTGAGCCTGACGGTTCGGGGTACATAGACTCACACACGGGGTTCACATATACCCCTCGAGGTCGGTTGACAACTTATATTGTAACTAACAATTTATTATTCATTTGACACAATTAACAGATTCAGTTAGTGGAATAAGGGTCTCAGAAATCCTCAAAGTGAGGAACCGCTAACTGCATTCCAATCCCCCCAAAACTCCTGCTATCAGCAGGGGTCGTCTTGCCAGCTTCCCTGGTGTGTCACAACTGATTAATGACCACAAGCTCATCTGTAGCAGACGACGTGTATGTGTGTGTGTGTGTGTGTGTGTGTGTTTGGTGAAGAAAAAATTGTCTGCTATTAAAATATTGATATTTAATGTTTTTAAACTACTTTTGAAACACCATTAAATTTTCTGCAGATTAAAAGAATAAATATTGGTCAACTTGTAGCTAAACCATTTAAATATACATTAATAGTGGATAACATAGTGGCCTGATTAATGCTTTCCAAAGCAGAGAAGACACATTACAAAATATAACTCATTTACCATGAAATTTTTATTAAGTCATTTATGCATGAAAATATCAAAGTAACACAGTAAACATTAATGAAGTATTCAAACAAATTCATAATTAATAAATCAAGTTTTTACATGTAGCAGAAACAATACATACAAAGTGGATCCAGCAAATGACATACTGTAAATCATGAAATTAATGTGAGTATGAAATTAATACCAAGATGCAAGTGACCCATTTTATCTGGACAAATTGGATTACATTGTCATGTCATGTCAAATTCACTGCACATGGCCGAAAACAATGTACTTGAGTGCTAGACGTGGACAGTGCTTCAGGTATGGTCAGTTTGTTTACACAGGTTGATCACCCGTTTATGACAGTTGCCAACCGTTTGTGACGTCGTCTTTGTTCATGGTAACCTGTCAGATAATCTAAAGATTTAACATTATAAGGAAAACGCTGCACACCTTCGTCTTTAAATAAGTCCGACAACGTAAAGCAGTCTAATAGAATATAAAACTATACGATATTTGAATCCCATGCTTTCATTTCATGTCAAGCAGCTGAAGTTAAGTTGGTGAAGATGGCAAAAGTTTTGTTGTAATAGTTCGCCGATTAGGTTTTATAGTTCAGGCAGGGCTACTCGCATTAATATCATGATGCATTTTTGTGTGTTTGTTGTTTAACACCGCACTCAGCAATATTCCAGCTACTGGTATATGACGACGTCTAGGGGTGGACACTTGCATTATTTTGGTGATTTGTCGTAATTAGTAACATCTCTAAAGGGCTGTTAGCAACTTTATAAAACAACAGATGCTATAGACATGGTCTTTCTGCCCACTACTAGTACAAGAGCAAGTACATTCATACATTCCCGTGACTGTACCAAACACAAAATGGATGTATTTAATGTACCAAATGTTCAGCACAAATATCTGCAACCTTTGGATCTGCTTGATATACTTGCACTCCTTGCCTTGCACTAAACTTGACACATCTTCAGTATGGCAGCGAATATTATCACATTTTCTTGATCAGTCCATGTTCCAACTTCAAACACATCACTATGAACAGTTTTATTCCACAGGTTGGTAAACAGAACAGGAATCTGTGGTACTATTTCCTGTAGTAAGGAAAAAAGGAAAAACATTTAGTGTTGACTGAATGCATTTTGGCTGCGTCAATGAATATTATTATGTTTGTAAGCAGTTCCTTAACCTGCTATATAAGAGACATAAGTACAATACTGTGAATCAAAATAATAGTAAACCAGATTATTTGAATTATTAAAAGCATGATGCATACAGTATTTTACTGGTAATACTTCTAATGTAGAAGACAGGAGAAATGGCATATACGTGTACCTTGGAGTTGATGTAACTGGTTTCTGTTTTCTCCTGGCACCTCTTTGTGGTGTATCTTCTAGTGTCCTCTTTCTTTTGTCCAGTTTCTTTTGTGGTATTTTGCAGTCCGTGATACGTTTCAGCAGTGTCGCTTCTGGAATTTGAATCAAATCCTCCAGTTTCTCTGTGCTCACTTCATCTCCAAGATAGTAATGCACATCCCCTTCTTTGTTCTTTCTGAGACAGCCTTTTTGAAGGAAGTTTGGGAGTATTGCTGAGTGGTTGCCAGCTAGAAAAAGATATTCGACCTGATAATCTACAAGAAGACAAATCTGGTCCAGTGCACTCTTTGGGGGAAGCCACGTTTGGGGTCTAGCAAAGTCTTGTTTCTTAGGATGTTTCATTGATAGCTGACGTACTTCTTCAAAGGTCAGCTTTTGAGAAGCCAACGTGCTTGGACAATATATTGACTTTATGAGTTCATGGTAGGTTTCCTTTGACACGTGACCACTGCCTCGCTGATCAAAACAGAACAAATTCTGGAAAAAGTTGGCATTGTCAACGAATGTTCTCAGGATCTTGTCGTGAGAAACTCCAGAATACTTTGGCAAGTAGTCATTTCCCCCAAGGCAGAGTCCCATGGCAACTTTCATTCCTGCATTTGGTCCAAGTTTCTTCTCCAGCAGCTCAATAATGCCAGTGATATTATAGACATCAACACCACCTGGCTTCTGCAGTAAAACATGGACTTTGTTTCTGAAAGAATTGTCATCCTTCCTAGGCCACAGAGCTGTAAGAGCAAAAAGGTGAATTGGAATGGCGTCAATGTCCCCAGATGTCACGACTGACACAACTTCATCTGTAGCTTCAAGACTGGATGAGATGTGCACCAGCCAGTCCATTTGGGACATTTCCGCCTCTCCTTTCCTTTGTTGAATATTCTCAAGCTTAATTTGCTGCACAAAGCCTTCCCTTGAAAATATATTTCGGGTTGGTATTGCAAACTTTGTCGAGCAGTTACAGTTATTTTCTCTGTCGCAGATGCAGCCATCAGTGATCCACTCACTGTCAATGTCCAGTTTGAGTTCTTTGTCAATACCCAGTGACTTGACATTCTTGGCCAGAAAACAGCTTATAAGGGATTTACCTTCTTCAGTTCCGACAACTGCCTTTTTGTCAAAAACTGAACTGCTGATGATTTCGTCGCCCCTCTTCAGGTGGGAAATTGACTGAATCTGCGATTTGGTTCTATTCACTCTTGTTGAAGCCTTGAAGTCATCAGGAGTGAACTTGTACTTTTCCTCACATATCACAATGTGTTTTGTAGATGTGTCTCAAGATTTTCTTTATGTTATCTTCTACCATCTTCAAATATTCCTGGCCAGATCTCGCTCTTGTCTTGAATTTGTCCTGCAAATTCAACAATAGCAACTGATACGTTTGACAGCAAACCAACTGGAAAATCTTTCATTCCACTTTGCAGTAATTTCTCTTCTTTAAGGATGTCTTCTGTGGTGGTGCCTCCATCCTGATGGTCCTGTTGCAGTAGCTTCTCAAGTTGATGAACAAGCGCTTTTTTCATGCCAGTTGACTTTTGCACTGCTGACTTTGAACAGTCGGGTTTGACAACTGCCTGACAACATTTCATTTCTGATGACAAGCTTTCTGCAATACCCAGGAGGGACTTTACTTTTCTCTTCCTTTTTATTTCTTTAACTTGTTTTTCCTCAGTGGGTACCTGACTTTTGCAGTTCATTCTTCTTACTGTCACGCCCTTCATTGTTTGAACTTTCTTCACAAGTTCTTTAGCCTTTGAGCTTGAGTCAATTGAAGGTTTTTCATCTTCTTGAGACTCATGGAAATTGCTCTCAAATACAAATTTGTCAATCAGATATCTTCCAACTTCATAGGTGTTCCTGTCCAGTGCAACTTCTGGGAGTGGTGTTGGCTTAGGTGCATAGACATTTCTTGGAATGGTCTCTGCATTCATGTCAAGTCCTCCTTGTCTAAGTATAAGGACAGCAGTGGGATAGATGTGATTAAGGTCTTGCCGTGTTACACTCCATGTTTTACTGTTGACATTTTCCTTTGTTTGGCTTGTGTTGTTTTCTTCCCTGAAAGATTCAATATCCAAGAATCTATCAACCAGTGACATCCGCGGAAGAACAGATGTAACCGTAGATCTTGGCCTGAAACCCTTGAGTGCATCTCTATGTTCCATTTCTCGTTGGGTATCTAAGGCAAAATTACCTTCACTTCCTCTGTAAGGGGTGCTGAAGAAAGATTGCTTCATATGTTGATGAAATGGACCCGAACTGTAATGTTCATAGAGCAGTCGACAACAAAAGGCTCCATATGAACTTGCTCCATTTAGGAAAGAAAATGGCAGTGATGTCTTAACAGCTGAAAGCATAAGATTATAACCGTCTGGACCTCCAATCCTCTCTGCAACCGCCAGGGCAAGAATTTCATCACAGTGACTCAGCATTTCTGCATGCAAAGAAAATGTGGCATTTGTTTTACTTCCTTCCTTCATGAAAACGGAATACTCTTCCATCCATCTGGCTTCAATCGTCAGAGCTTTTTCCTTCAAAGAGTTAAATATAATCTTTGCATTATTTGGGGCTTTTGTTGAAAGGAATTTTATCATGAAGGCTACGTGAAGCGCATAGGAAACTCTTCGGACGTTATGGGTTGCTGCTTCAATGTTTTCTGTGCTGACGAGTTTCTTCCAGTCTTCAGTCGTGTCGTGCATGTAGCTCAGGAGATGAAAGAGGCCAGCATCTTTGTATGCACTGCAAAGGTTCACAATCTTTGACTTCCGCAGATGTAGTAGTGGAAATTCTGGTAGATATTTCCTAATTGCATGTCTTCATCCATCAGCTTGAAAAGGCACTTTCCTATTTTGTTGTCAGGAGCAAACAAAATGCGACATGTATCAGGGTTTGCTGCTGATTTGACCAGTATGTCATTCAAAATGTCACGCATTTTATGAATGTCATCATCTCGGCCAATTGCTGGAGGTGGATGCCTTACCAAGACAGAGGGGGGTTTGTATATTGTGTATCCCAGTGTGGAGATGAGATCTTCAATGACAGTGACATTGGCCTCCAGGTCCTCAGATGACATGTCTCCTTGATTGTTAGGTAGGGGCGAGCATCCTAAATTCAAAACGCTTAAACTGTCATTCATCTGTGAAAGCTCAAGATCGACATCTGTCATCTCATTCTGATTGTATTCTGAGTCTGAATCTGGCATCAAGCTTTCACAACTACCGTCAAACTCAGTATCTGACATAATGTCAGAAAGAGACATGTCCATCAGACCTTCTTCTTTGTCAAGTTGTCTTAGCACTGTGTCCAGTTCGTTGTTGTATGAGTCATGCCATTCTTCAGATACAACATTTTCCATTGTGTCTTCCTGTCCTCCAGCAGCTTCATGCCCATTGAATATATTCTGTATTGCACTTGTCAAATGTGATGCGGCTACTGTTTGGTCGATCTCAGACCACAGGTAATGTAAATTCCAAGTAAGCTTCATTTGAAAGTCGGCCCTTTGGGATTCTTCTGCAACTGTTAGTTGATGGAATACAAACTTTAAATCCTCTTTGTTCATCTTGACTGCTTCTCTGCATTGACATGTGGATGTGCCATCACATATGTTGTCATCATGCCATTCTTGGAGAACTGCAGCATTCCTTGGTATTCCCATCAAGGTCATTGGCAAAGTGCATATTTGTGAGGACCTAGAATCTCCTCTGTCTGGATCCCTGTGAAAGGACAACCTAACAAGATTGTCCAAACAGAAAATAAGGTGGCAATCTCGAAGGGAAACCTGGTGCTTGTGGCCATCTTGTGCTTCATAGTCAAGGTCATACTTTTTTATGAAAGTGTTATAATAGCACTTGTCAGGGTCTGCCTGTCTCTGTAGTCTTTCAGTTGCATTCTTCAGACTGCCAGTAAGCCCACCATGTGATGTTACAGAAAACACATTTGTAATGCTGTGGTAAGACGCTGAAAGCTCATCAGTGTTAATTTCCTGATTAATGCCAGCATAGTTCTTGTTGTTGATGTTTAACATGGCATCAAAAAGGAGGTACAGCTTCTCTATCCTTTCCTTTACAAATTTGTCAGGCCTCTGAGACTTTCTTACACTTTGGAAATTAATGAATGTTTCAAGAACAATTTGGAAAGGTAGGGGTACGTAAAATTTCCATTCTTTGAAGATATCAAATGAATGTAAGTCCAACGGATCAGTATGTGTAAGCACTGGCGCGCATGTCGGACAAATGCTATCCCTCAGATCCTCTTCACTTTCTTCAAAGAAGTCTTCTGATTTGAATGTGGATGTCCTTCGGGATAGATTACCTTGACTGACGTCATCGCGGAGATGGAACCTTTTGGTGACTCTGTTACCCACGCTGTAACTTTTGAAGGTCTTGCTTTCGAAAATCACAACCTCTGCACACCTTTCTTTGTGATGACAAGCAAGTTCACTTTTAATCAAAGTAAAAGTGTCGTCAATATTTATTTCACCAGCATCTTCCGTCACTTCCAAGTAGACGTGAATGCCAGGGGAATGCTTTGCCTTGCAGATCTGCTCACAGTCTAGACAAACAGCTGGACAGAATGAACCTGGAAAGTTGTCTTCCAGGAGATCTGTGATTGTTTCATCAAGCAATGACGGGAGGTGCTTTGTCTTTGCTTCTAACACAACTCCCTCAATGTTGTCTGCTGCCAGTTTTCTATTAGAGTTGGTTTTAATTGCGTCTTTAATTGAGTAGAGTAGGGTTTCTTTCAATGTATAAATCCATTTACACTGACTAAACAGTTCCTGACGCTTTGTGATTGAAAGATCACTACTGTAGCCAGAAGAATGAACTGGTGACTCATCTTTGATGCTATTCCAGAAGTGAACTTCAAATATTTTTATTTTTTCCCATTCTTCCTTTTCAAAGTTCTTTTCGTATGATTTGTACAAACAAGGAATTTCAAAACGATGTATTTTGTCACACAAGAGTTTATCAATTGTATCATATCTAAAGACCGACCTGCTCACAACAGTGTAAAATTCAAAGAGAGCATCAGCGCTTGAACTTCCTTCTGACAGAGCCCATGATTGAACTTCATTGACAACTTTGCCACATACTTTGATACGGTCACAATGATCAAAACAGTATCTTAAAAATGCTTTGAAATTTAACTGAGTCTCATTTACAGACAGCACGTTTCCTTTCTTGCAAGTATTCTTTTCAATCACACGAACACAATTTCTATGTTTCTTCAAAGATCGCAATATATTGTCTCTTCGGATATCTTTCACATCATCTTCTGAAGTCTGGTGCTGTTTCAGGAAATTTATAAAATCCTCAAATTTGATCCATTTTTCTGAGGTGTTTTCATCATGTATGATTTGAAGACAGTCCCAAATGTGAGCAGAACCCATGACTCCTACTTTCCTTGTATTTCATCATACCTGGAAGTGAAATTGACCACTATTTAACAGCTAATAATTGAATACATGTGTTATTCACTGTGTAAAACGTGTATCTATATGTGTATAGAATTCTGAGTATTTTGTTTATTTTGGAAATTATGAGAAAACATGAAGAACTAGCTTATCCAGATGATATCATGTTCTTATAATCATCCTAGTAACTGGGGTGGTCGGGTAGCCTAGTGGTTAAAGCGTTCGCTCGTCACGCCAAAGACCCGGGTTCGATTCCCGACATGGGTACAATGTGTGAGGCCCATTTCTGGTGTCTCCCGCCGTGATATTGCTGGAATATTGCTAAAAGCGGCGTAAAACCATACTCACTCACTCATCCTAGTAACTAGATGGTTCACCTAGCCTTGATTTCGGCGATGAATATTGTATAATTACGGAATAACACTATTTCAGTGATTAGTGACCATCTAGTCCACATCTTTTTATATCAGAATAGGCTTTAAAAGCTGTTAAATGTTTTTGAACTGGTAATATATGTGAATGGTAACGAATGTGGCGAACACCTGGTATCATCACAATCTGATAGTGATTCTAAAACACATGTTCATTATATAGTCATAATCGTACAATAGACTGAGATTTCTTATGAATATGGAAAGAGTTTCGTTAGTTATATCGGATAATGAATATTATGTTTATGCACTGAAATACTTCAAAACGTCATCTACTTTGACCACAGTATTTATGATCACTTACATGTATTAATATAGGTTCATTGGGTATAACATTACAGTACGTACAAGTTCCACATTCTGATTGTCCACAAATCAACAGACTAGTTTAAGTATATGTAATAAGTATATGAAACATCTGGATAAGAGGGATCACAGACCTAAATTAAATTTACATATATGTGGGATTCCTCTGATTTGTTTAGGTATTTAGTTTGTTACAAATACAATATGAATATAACGAAACTCTTCTGTAGGTAAGACAAGATAAGATGTGTTAATTGCAAAACATTCTATTACAGAACAAAGGCAATATAGTCGACATACACCATATACACATAATAAGTTTACATAAACATACACATTAGAGCATATTTTGTATTCCAATCATGTAAAATTAATGATTACGTCAAATGCTTACCTGAGGATGGAGAAAATGCGTTTTCTTTCGTTGATTTCGCTGACAATTCAATAACTTTCTTTCTCAAAACAATAGATGAGTGTTGCACTTCTTTATTCCACAAGTGACCATGTGGTCTGGATGATTCCATGTGGTCTCTGCAGTTTCCTTCACTCTGGTTTAGGTTGGAGAGTGTTATGTCTTAATCCTAGTGTGTCATTCTGGCCCATGCCATCAGTGCCCTAATGTAAACAAACTCGGACCAGCTGCTTCACTGGAGCAGGGGAACAACTGATAAGATCACGGCTAAAGAGTATCAGATTCAGTGAGAGGGGGGATGCTGACAGGGAGAGTTTGGGCTTGTGCCACTAAGTGAGATTCGATTGTCATTATTCTGAAAACCTCAGATCTCTGATCTGATGCTTGATACATCCGTGCAGTATATTGTCTAATTCATACAGGCGGCGATTTGGTTATATTTTAGCACCAAGAGACTACATGAAAAGGGTGGGGGAAATGGACCCCCCCCCCCCCCCCCCCCCCCCCCCTCCTTTAATTTTGCATTAAAGTTTCTATTCAGATGATTTAATTGATAGAATTTAGGACAGGGGTCGAAATATGCGAGCCATTAGGAACTTGAACCATGTATTTGATTTACGTAGTTTCGGCCGATTTAACTCAACAGTGTTGATCAACTAAAACCCATCAAGCGACGAGGCAGAAATTCATCAGCCTTGGTAGACATAAGCTGGGAGGCCTTTAACACCAAGACCGGTAACTCTGAACAGCGACCCTGCCAGTGAGTTGGTGGTCAGGAGCTCGCTGTCTGGAATCTCCTTCCTCAAACTGGTCACGTACAACTCATCCAGGTTCCTCCCTCCCCACGCCGCTGACGTGATCTGGGTAGCGTTAGGCAGGGAAACCTTTTGAAGCGCTGCTCCTGAAAATGAGATAATAGGATTTTATTTAACGCGAAAGAATATGGAAATATTATATTATTATATTAAATATTCATAAACGGCAGGTATCCAGGTACTAGTACGTGCTCAAACGCGGTTTCATTTGTTCCAAGGCCACTGGATCCGTTTGCATTCCGGTTATCATTCTTAACTCCCTGGGGAGTATACAAAGCAAGCTGCCTAGGGGTGCTTGAAGGGTTTTACATCCACCTCACATATATCGGGTACCCAGTTCCTGCTGTGAACAGAGGCACATTTGAACTAAGTCACTTGCCGAGGGTGACACCACAAGTTTTAACACTTGTGTTTCGGGTGTATGTAGGTATTCGTGTCTCCACCATCTGGTCATCTACCATCGGACGAGTGGGTTCTTGTGAGTGCACAGGGTGTATGTACCCTAAACTAGGGGTAGTGACAACTCTAGACCTGTAAACATTGTTGGTCCCAAGGCCGAATAACAACCCGGTCCTTTGTGTCACTTGTTTGTTTACCCACATATATCTACAGAAGTTGTTTTTTACATGGAAAAGAAGGAAGCACAACAACTAAAATGCAACGGTAAGTACGGAACGATAGATTGACAGTCCCATCCTATTCGTGAAAAGCTTTTCTAAATTATCAATCTGATTTTCCAATTTCCAAGGCGGAAATTATTCAACGTCTAATTACGTTACACATAGGCATGCCCCCCCCCTTAAAAGTACACCAAGGATTACGTTCGAGGTGTAACGAAATAGCGAATCCTTTGTGAATCGTGTAAACAGAAATACAACCCTGCTATAATTGTGTCACCTCAACCAAGCGCGCACCTGTTCTGGAATCGAACTTGACCATGCAGCCACCACCCAAGCATGCTACCCATATGTTGTCATCCGTGTCCACCGTCATTCCGTCAGGGCTTGGTACATGCCCTTTAAATTCCGGGACTTTGTCAAAGTCTACAGCTACTCTCTTATTGGCTGGAAAGAAACATAAATCAGATTTACTTATCATCTTTGTGTCGACGTGACGGATATAAACCACCTACATGGCCAAGAACTATGCTGGACGTTTGTTTGACTTTCTACAGTACTTTACAAATGATAATCACCAACACCGTATGGCATTTGTCTCGCCGTCTGTGCGTATATACCAATACATTTGCCATAATTATATATACATGTATATTTGTAGTTGTTTTTTGTACGAATGTGTCACAGTGCTTGTCCCATAACCTGCTTGTTACACCGTCATTAATTGCCAAAGTTAACTACAGTAAACTACGGTTATAACGAACTCAAAGGGGTCACTAATTTTAGTTCGTTGTAACCGTTGTTCGTTATAGGTATATATACAGAATATATACAGCAAATGGCCGCGACCAAAAAATAAGTTCGTTATATCCGTCAGTTCGTTGTAATCGTGTTCATTATTTATATATACTTTTACTTTTTACGGTCAGTGCAGAAAATTGCAGATTGACAGTCATGGTAGCTCTTTTTGTCTCAAGTTCAAGCAGCCACACTTGCAGTTAACATCAGTATTCTACTGTCAGGGGTCCGGTATCAGTGCTAGTTTTCTAATGAATAAATCTGTTGTAAATTCGAGTTAGGAAAAAGAAACAACCTCCAGCATTTAGTGTTTACAAAAACACACAATGGTGTAATTTGTGAAATTACACCGACCAAACAATTCTGTCACAAAAAGTGTTCGCTTGCCTGTGTCACTTTTATAACTCACATATATTTCCAGTGTTGATGTCGTAGTTGTAAGCGTACACTTTACGTGGCGTCGTGTCGACAAAGTACATGGTGGTGTTGTCGACCGACCACGCCAGTCCGTTCGAGATGCACGTTCGCTCGACCTTCTTGGTCACTGAACCGTCCGTGTCCAGACAGTACAAGTTGCCCTGGTCGTCCTCCAGCGACTTGCTCATTGTACCTGAAACAGCAATCACATTGTACCGTAAGCAACACTCATCATGTACCGGAAACCACCACTACGCAAGCGCGGGATTTGAGGGACCTGTGCTATCCAAGACAACTGATGATGTATTACCGGCCAGATTCAGACCGGTGGTACATAAGCATTGATATATGTATTAAAATTTAATTTTATATATACAATATTTCTTATCTCTTATAACCTTTTGGGTGAAACATATTTTGCCACAAGTAGTATTTCGGGGGAATATACAGAATTTCCTTGTTGGAGAAGATCTTCGCATCTGAAAAGATTGTGAAACTCATCTCCTCCTGAAAGTGAAATCACAGAGTTGACAAGTCTTCGATCTCTTAGTATATTCTGCCATCGGTCAGTCTCAATGGACAAGTTATGATTTGAAGTACGAAATTTTAATATAGGCATGTACTTGCTTATAGGGAGTAACGGATAAGTTTCAAACTTTGGGTTTTGCTTATAGTGTTTATAGTGTATACCCTTTGGACTCGACTCCATACTTAGTATGTGTTCTACCGTTGAGACCAGCCAATTTGTGGGGCACATGTATGGTTTATTAAATATCTCACTTAGCCCAACAGTCGAGTTACGGCCCTTGTCAGGATGTGACATTCGATGCATTGTCATAGACACTTTCATTTTACACGGTAAGGACACTATGGTAACCAACCTGCCCATAGACGTCCTTTAGCGTCACATTTCCCATCATTCATCCTGTTGTTGCTTTTTCCGGGGTCCACTTCCGCCATCTTGGTGACGGTCTTGGTGTTCCAGTCTAGAGCTGAGAAGGTGCGATCCAGTCCCACCATAAGACCCCCTTTACTGCGGGGCACGACGAACCCTACACACCCATCTGTGACGTAGAAACAACAACTGCAGACACAGGCAGATTCCATTATCAAGCACTACTTTACACTGAAGGACGGACGGAAACAGTACATCGAATACGTTGTGTGTGTAAAGGAGGTTGCATGCGTGATATAAATACATAGATTATGTTGCAGGAGTGTGTGTTGCATGTGTAAACATATGAGGTTGTGTGTGTGATATAGGAAGTTGCATGAGCAATATATGAACTTTAAATGAGCAGGTTGCATGTGTACAATAAGAGGATGCATGTGTAATGGATGAAGTTGCATGTGTAATATATGAGGTTTTATGTGTAATTAAAGAATTTTCATGTGTAATATAAGAGGTTGCATGTGTAATATATGAGATTGCATGTGTAATATAAGAAGTTGCATGTGTAATATAAGAAGTTCCATTTGTAATATATGCGGTTGTATGTGTAATATAAGACTTGCATATGCAATATTAGAGGTTGCATGTGTAATATAAGAAGTTGCATGTGTAATATATAAGGTTGCTTGTTTAATATAAGAAGTTCCATTTGTAATATATGCGGTTGTATGTGTAATATAAGACATTGCATATGCAATATTAGAGGTTGCATGTGTAACATAAGAAGTTGCATGTGTAATATATGAGGTTGTATGTGTAATAAAAGAAGTGGCACATGTAATATAAGAGGTTGCATGTGTAATATAAAAAATTGCATGTGAAATTTATGAAGTTGCATGTGTAATATAAGAAGTTCCATTTGTAATATGTGAGGTTGTATGTGTAATATAAGACATTGCATATGCAATATTAGAGGTTGCATGTGTAACATAAGAAGTTGCATGTGTAATATATGAGGTTGTATGTGTAATAAAAGAAGTCGCATGTGTAATATAAGAGGTTGCATGTGTAATATAAAAAATTGCATGTGTAATTTATGAAGTTGCATGTGTAATATAAGAAGTTCCATTTGTAATATGTGAGGTTGTATGTGTAATATAAGAAGTTGCATGTGTAATATAAGAAGTTTCATGTGTAATATATGAGGTTTCACGTGTAATAAAAGAAGTTTCATGTGTAATATAAGAAGTTGCATGTGCAATATTAGAGGTTGAATGTGTAATATAAGAAGTTGCATGTGTAATATATGACGTTGTATATGTAAAAGAAGAAGATGCATTTTTAATAAATGAGGTTGTATGTGTAATATAAGAAGTTGCATGTGTAATATATGGGGTTTAATGTGTAATATGAAAAATTGCATGTGTAATATAAGAGATTGCATATGTAATATAAGAAGTTGCATGTGTAATATATGAGGTGGAATGTGTAATATAAGAAGTTGCATGTGTTATATATGAGGTTGTATGTGTAATATAAGAGGTATAATGTGTAATATATGAGGTTGAATGTGAAATATAAGAGGTTGCATGTTTAATATATGAGGTTGCATGTGTAATGTATGAGGTTGCATGTGTACTGTATGAGTTTGCATGTGTAATATAAGAGGTTGCATGTGTTATATATGGGGTTGCATGTGTAATATAAGAAGTTGCATGTGTAATATATGAGGTAGAATGTGTAATATAAGAGGTTGCATGTGTAATGTATGAGGTTGAATGTGTAATATAAGAGGTTGCATGTGTTATGTATGAGGTTGCATGTATAATATAAGAAGTTGCATGTGTAATATAAGAGGTTGCATATGTATTATAAGAGGTATAATGTGTTATATATGAGATATAATGTGTAATATAAAAGATTGCATGTGTAATATATGAGGTTGAATGTGTAATATAAGAGGTTGCATGTGTAAAATATAAGGTTGCATGTATAATAGAAGAGGTTACATGTGTAATATATGAGGTTGTATGTGTAATATAAGAAGTTGCATGTGTAATATCTGAGGTTGCATGTGTATTATAAGAGGTATAATGTGTAATCTATGAGGTTGAATGTGTAATATAAGAAGTTGCATGTGTAATATATGAGGTTGCATGTGTATTATAAGAGGTATAATGTGTAATATATAAGGTTGAATGTGTAATATAAGAAGTTGCATGTGTAATGTATAAGGTTGAATGTGTAATATAAGAAGTTGCATGTCCGTCAGACGTACATTTCAATACGACGGTTCAAGAAATTATCTTGTTAATGTCATATCATAGTGAGTGAGTGTGGTTTCACGCCGTTTGTAGTAATATTCCAGCAATATCACGTCGGGGGTCACCAGAAATGGGCTTCACACATTGTAAGCATGTAGGAATTCGAACCCGGGTCTTTGGCGCGACGAGCGAACGCTTTAACCACTAGGCTACCCCACCGCCCTTAATATCATGGGGATGATTAGTGACACTTACTGAGCTGGATCATGTCGTTGGTGCCGGTGACGGGGTTGTATCTGAAGATTTTGCCGTTGTCGAGATCGACAAACAACAACGTTTGTGTCGAGTCCTCCCAGTGAGGCCCCTCCCCACACTTGGTCGCCACATTCTTCAACACAGTCTCCACCCTGTACGACATCGCTGGTCTAATATTTACCTAAAATGGAAATAAAAATATTATGAGGTGAAATAGGCAATGAATGATGCATTTTTGAAGGCATTTCAGCTGTTTGTTTCTTGTCAATTGTGAGTGATACGCTACATGGTTAAGTGATGAGCTGGGATGGTGAGCTGGGATGAAATGGCGTTCAACGTCGCGTTCAAGATTATTTCACTGCCCCCGACGTGCTGCTTGTACAAGTACGGAGTTAAGCTGTTTTTTCGAAGTAGGACCACTGAGGCACCATGTTTAACATGGATACCCCACTCAAACACAGCATGCTGACTCTGAACAGACAGGTCCTCGTTATATCCCTTTAATGCCGAGCTCCGGGCAGTTTAACAGCAAGTATATAATCTTTACCGTCTTTTGGTACGGCACGGCCAGGGATCGAACCACCGACCATCCGCTCTTCGAACAGATGTTCTATCCACTCGGCCATGGAGACGGTCTGACAATGGATTCAATGCACTTCCATGTCGATATTATTGTTAAGAAGATTAAAACATGTGTATCAAATATTACATCTTGCTATTTTACAGGGTTGAGGATTTTGGATATATACACATATTCATATATACTTTATTTAAGATCGGGAGACACAACAACAATCAACAACCGGCAGATTTCATCATCACATCTCCAATCACAGTGATTATAATTAAGTCTATATTAAAGCGTGAGGCGTAAATTTCATATCTCCGAAATAAACAACTATTAAGGACAGTGTATACATTAATTTAAATTTGTTTGTTAGTTGTTTAACACCGCACTAAGCAATATTCCAGCTATATGAAGGCGGTCTGTAAATAATCGAGTTTGGACCAGACAATCCAATGATTGACATCATGAACATCGATCACCATAATTGGGATACGATGACCTGCATCAGCCATGTCAACGAACCTGACCACCCGATCCCGTTAGTCGCCTCTTACGACAAACATAGTCGCCTTTTACGACAAGCATGGGTTGCTGAAGACCTATTCGAACCCGGATCTTCACAGGTCGTGTAAACGGGGAATCCCCTGTTATAAAGCTATCATAAATACTTGGACTCTTGGGAATTGTCACTTAAAAACTAACTTTCAAAAAAGAGCGTGAACATGAACAGCAGGCGATGCACGTGCCCACAGAAGCCAAAGTGTGTGCGCCGAGAGGGGAACTCACAATAACTAATGCAGTTAAGCTAAGCACCTGCATAAATATGCCTCAGTAATGAAAAGGGCGAATTGTGGGTACGACAGAGGAGGAACGTAGTCCCGAATGTTTGGCAAATCAAAAGAAAAATGTAATTTCTCGACTATGTGACAAGAACAGCCAAACGGGTGGCGTTGCAATGAGACACGGGCGTGACAGGCCTGACAAACGACACCTAGACAAGATCGACTTTTTACATAAATGTACCACACAATAGATTTACATCATAACCCAGGCGGGTTTAAGGTTAGTAGTGTATGTATTTACATCTGTCATCGCCAGATGATAACATACTAGTGACTCTTCAGCCAGCTAAAGACGTCCAAGAGAGACTCTAGCGACAACTTTCTCCAGCCGAGTCCAGACCGACTTTGAAATAGCTGCAATTCGCGCTGTTCAGTCTGAGTTCCCAGCTACTGAAGTGAAGTGCAGCTACTTCCACTTCAGCCATACATATTTATATGTACGTAAAGTACAAAAAGCACAAGATTACTTTTCTACTTTTCTTGGATCCCTCCATTCTAATACGTATGTAACTAAGGGTAGACCAGTCACTGCCTTCAGCCATAACCATGTTGTTTTAAGGTGTGTAACCAATGGGACGTGTCACTAATGGGAGGACACCACCCTTACAGCTGACGATAGGCGGCAAAGATTCGGATGGGCTAGGGACGGGATAGGGGGCCAATGGCGTTACATCATGTTTACAGACAAATCAAGGTCTTGCTTCCGATTTACAGATGGCAGAAAACGTTGTAGGAGACGAAGCGGCGAGCTGTGTGCCTGACCGTGATCGATATGGGTATGCATATCTGTAGTAAATGCTATTTAACCCCATTTTTTGAATAATGTTATCGAACTGGGTTACAACCTCTTATAGTTGTACATCGTACATCGCGAAGAGGAAAGACCCTAACAGCTGAAGAATCGGGGACTTAACCTGGAAACGTCTCCTCCCCCCCCCCCCCCCCCCCCCCCCCCCCGCATGTTGTCGCTACCCAACATACGCATCCTGAACCGACCTGTGGTCATGACTTCTTTACAAGCTCAAGAAAAAAAAAAATTTACGTCAGAAATGTCTCAATTTGGACTGAGTGATATTTGATGGTGATTCAAAGACACAATCTGAACTGAACGATGGACACTGCATTGAGCCTAGATTTCTTATGATTACTGAGAAAGATTTCTCGTTTATATTTAATAAATTGCATTAAAAAACTTCTTTAACCATGTATGATTTTGGGTTTTTTATGTTCTTGAATTATTTAATATATATTTTGCCAATTTACCAATATACTTACCTTCAAGTCAGACGCGAATTGATTTCAATTAGTCTATGTAGCCGTCGTATACATGTAACATAGATAGATGTGTACGGTAGTGTGTGGAATTGAATACGATATTGAAATATTGAACGTGTTCATTAGGCGAGACATTTCAAAACAATATGCAGCTATGTATACAACGTGCTGAAGATCTTCTTTAGTTGACTACAAAATATAGTTTTTACACGTGCACAATCCTTGTATCCTTCATATCATTTTATCTTTAAATTTCCATATCGAAAATTAATCAACAGACACTACAAGCCACACTAATTACTTCATAAGAAACTGTTTGTTTTGGGATAATTTTCTTTCAAACAATACTCATTTTGACAGACGACATATGTAACTGTAAAACTGTGTATAAAATAAATAAAAAGATGATCAGCAGAAGATTGAAACTACAGGTGTGTACCAGGTGATGGATAAACACGATATCAGCGAGTGAGTGAGTTGGGTTTAACGCCAGTTTTAACAGTGTTATAGTTATATCGCGGCGTGTCAGCTTAATGTGGGAGGACCGAAGTGATGCAGGTCTTAGACTTTTACCATTTGGGTGCAACCCACAAGCACGGGTATGGTGCTGACAAACCTAGAACCGGGATTCGAACCCACAATCATAGGTTTCTGGCGAGCCCAAGGCATAAATACTTGGACTCTTGGGAATTGTCACTTAAAAACTAACTTTCAAAAAAGAGCGTGAACATGAACAGCAGGCGATGCACGTGCCCACAGAAGCCAAAGTGTGTGCGCCGAGAGGGGAACTCACAATAACTAATGCAGTTAAGCTAAGCACCTGCATAAATATGCCTCAGTAATGAAAATGGCGAATTGTGGGTACGACAGAGAAGGAACGTAGTCCCGAATGTTTGGCAAATCAAAAGAAAAATGTAATTTCTCGACTATGTGACAAGAACAGCCAAACGGGTGGCGTTGCAATGAGACACGGGCGTGACAGGCCTGACAAACGACACCTAGACAAGATCGACTTTTTACATAAATGTACCACACAATAGATTTACATCATAACCCAGGCGGGTTTAAGGTTAGTAGTGTATGTATTTACATCTGTCATCGCCAGATGATAACATACTAGTGACTCTTCAGCCAGCTTAAGACGTCCAAGATAGACTCTAGCGAAAACTTTCACCAGCCGAGTCCAGACCGACTTTGAAATAGCTGCAATTCGCGCTGTTCAGTCTGAGTTCCCAGCTACTGAAGTGAAGTGCAGCTACTTCCACTTCAGCCATACATATTTATATGTACGTAAAGTACAAAAAGCACAAGATTACTTTTCTACTTTTCTTGGATCCCTCCATTATAATACGTATGTAACTAAGGGTAGACCAGTCACTGCCTTTAGCCATAACCATGTTGTTTTAAGGTGTGTAACCAATGGGACGTGTCACTAATGGGAGGACACCACCCTTACAGCTGACGATAGGCGGCAAAGATTCGGGTGGGCTAGGGACGGGATAGGGGGCCAATGGCGTTACATCATGTTTACAGACAAATCAAGGTCTTGCTTCCGATTTACAGATGGCAGTAAACGTTGTAGGAGACGAAGCGGCGAGCTGTGTGCCTGACCGTGATCGATATGGGTAGTGGATGCTATTTAACCCCATCTTTTGAATAATGTTATCGAACTGGGTAACAACCTCTTATAGTTGTACATCGTACATCGCGAAGAGAAAAGACGCTAACAGCTGAAGCATTTCGGACTTAACCTGGAAACGTCTCAAACATTTTCAATGAATCTGCCATTCGATCAAAGTCAGTAACGGAGAGAGTTAAAATTGGGCTTGGACAGTATGTCGATTACATAGCGAAATAATATAGTTAGAAATCAAATAGTGCTGTCAGTGTGAGAGGCCCAACTCAGTCCCAAGCTCAAATCACTCTGGAGGAGTGACTTGATCCTAGGCTGAGATCACCCTAGATGAATGACTTGATCCTAGGCTGGGATCACCCTAGATGAATGACTTGATCCTAGGCTGAGATCACCCTAGATGAATGACTTGATCCTAGGCTGAGATCAACTCTAGAGGAATGACTTGATCCTAGGCTGAGAACACCCTAGATGAATGACTTGATCCTAGGCTGAGATCACCCTAGATGAATGACTTGATCCTAGGCTGAGATCAACTCTAGAGGAATGACTTGATCCTAGGCTGAGAACACCCTAGATGAATGACTTGATCCTAGGCTGAGATCACCCTAGATAAATGACTTGATCCTAGGCTGAGAACAACTCTAGAGGAATGACTTGATCCTAGGCTGAGATCACCCTAGATGAATGACTTGATCCTAGGCTGAGATCACCCTAGATAAATGACTTGATCCTAGGCTGAGATCACCCTAGATGAATGACTTGATCCTAGGCAGAGATCACCCTGGAGGAATGACTTTATCCAAGGCAGAGAGAGAGAGAGAGAGAGAGAGAGAGAAGAGAGCGAGAGAGAGAGAGAGAGAGAGAGAGAGAGAGAGAGAGAGAGAGAGAGAGAGAGAGAGAGAGAGAGAGAGAGACCTACTGTCCACAAATAATAACGTCGACTGTTGAACAATAAGTACTACCTTTTCAGGTGAGACGCAAAAACACTTAAAAGTTTTAGTATAGTATGCTAAAGCTGAACAGGAGAAGTAAAATACTGTAAAAATATAAGGGGGTGTTTTGGGCCAAGTGGGGCGTGTGAGTGTGGTTTTACGCCGCTATTAGCAATATTCCAGCAACATCAAGGCAGGGGACACCAGAGATGGGCTTCACACATTGTACCCATGTCGGGAATCGAACCCAGATTTTCAGCGTAACGAGCGAACGCTTTAACCACTAGGCTACCCGACCGCCCCTTGGGCCCAGTGGAGGGGAGTGACCTGAGCCTTGACTGCAAACACTCTAAAGCGGCTTGAACCTAGGCTCAAATGAATCTAAAGTGAATCTTTAAGGGATTAATACGAGCCTGCTACAACGTTACACATTTACCAGTTCGGATCAACAGGAGCACGGCTAAGGTGCTCACAAACCAAGATCACCATAATGAGTGCGAATCTGGGATTCTAACCAATGATCATAGGATTCGGGACGTCTTAATCAAAATCCATTTTGTGCTATCAGTAGTCATTTCAAAACTCACGCTATGGTTGGTTGTCCGTTATATTCAATAGGTCCCTATGGTGTACATACAACTGTCTAGTTAAACGTCCAACAAAGATGTGTCTATTCCTTTTGATGAAGGTGACGGTTTTCTGACGAGTGTCAGTAACAAGCTATAACCGTCGGTTACTGTCGAATGGATCATGGCTCTGCGCAATACATCCAATGACGCAGAAACCACACAAGGACAGCACCACCAATCACAAACAGTGACTTATAATTATGTATTGAGGTAGACAGGGGGTACTTGATTTACTTGTAAACATGACGCAACAGGAACGAAGTCGCCATATAATACACAACAAATACAGGGGAAAGGGATCAAGGCGAGCTCTGACGTTTGGCCATTTGATGTACCACGTGTTTCGTGTCATCTGTTATGGGAGGGGTGGGGGAGTAAGGGGAGGGTGGGGGCAGGGACTGGGTCCTGAAAACATGGAAGATCAGTTTACCGAAAAACCCTCGAGATCACTAGACACTAGACACACTCGGGAAGCCCTATTCAACGAGTAAGGCTTCAGATAATGCTTAAGTGAGTTGGGTTTTACGCCGCTTTTTAACAGTATTCCATTCATATCACTGCGTGTCAGCTTAATGTGGGAGGAAATCCCGAAGTGATGCAGGTCTCAGACGTTGACCACTTCGGTGAAACCCACGAGCACGGGTATGGTGCTTACAAACCTAGAACCGGGGTTCGAACCCACAATCATAGGTTTCTTAACTTGTTTGCTTGGCATATATACTGACTATACACAATGTTACGATTTTTAAAAACTCTGTATCAGTGACTTCTTAGTGGAAGCTGTATGATATATAGCCCCATCGTCTGTTAATGCCATTGAGATTACATCTATGTATTGCAGGTCCAGCAAACCCGTGAATGTTGAGTACCATTATCTTCATATAGTGAATGCTGAGGGGTATTACCGTTATATTGTGCCAGGGTCACCCCTCAATGATATCTCGCTGAAAACACTCTTTGACTGCATATATATCTATAGTGTGGAACCTTGAACGTGACTAAACGTATCCTTGACCCGTGTCTGTAGTGTGGAACCTTGAACGTGACTAAACGTATCCTTGACCCGTGTCTGTAGTGTGGAACGTGGAACGTGAATAAACGTATCCTTGACCCGTGTCTGTAGTGTGGAACCTTGAACGTGACTAAACGTATCCTTGACCCGTGTCTGTAGTGTGGAACCTTGAACATGACTAAACGTATCCTTGACCCGTGTCTGTAGTGTGGAACCTTGAACATGACTAAACGTATCCTTGACCCGTGTCTGTAGTGTTGAACCTTGAACATGACTAAACGTATCCTTGACCCGTGTCTGTAGTGTGGAACCTTGAACGTGACTAAACGTATACTTGACCCGTGTCTATAGTGTGGAACCTTGAACATGACTAAACGTATCCTTGACCCGTGTCTGTAGTGTGGAACCTTGAACGTGACTAAACGTATCCTTGACCCGTGTCTGTAGTGTGGAACGTGGAATGTGAATAAACGTATCCTTGACCCGTGTCTGTAGTGTGGAACCTTGAACGTGACTAAACGTATCCTTGACCCGTGTCTGTAGTGTGGAACCTTGAACGTGACTAAACGTATCCTTGACCCGTGTCTGTAGTGTGGAACCTTGAACGTGACTAAACGTATCCTTGACCCGTGTCTGTAGTGTGGAACCTTGAACGTGACTAAACGTTTCCTTGACCCGTGTCTGTAGTGTGGAACCTTGAACGTGACTAAACGTTTCCTTGACCCGTGTCTGTAGTGTGGAACCTTGAACGTGACTAAACGTATCCTTGACCCGTGTCTGTAGTGTGGAACCTTGAACGTGACTAAACGTATCCTTGACCCGTGTCTGTAGTGTGGAACGTCGAACGTGGAACGTGGAACGTGACTGAACGTATCTTTGACCCGTGTCTGTAGTGTGGAACGTGGAACGTGACTGAACGTATCCTTGACCCGTGTCTGTAGTGTGGAACGTCGAACGTGGAACGTGGAACGTGACTGAACGTATCCTTGACCCGTGTCTGTAGTGTGGAACGTGGAACGTGACTAAACGTATCCTTGACCCGTGTCTGTAGTGTGGAACGTGGAACGTGACTAAACGTATCCTTGACCCGTGTCTTTAGTGTTGAACGTGGAACGTGAATAAACGTATCCTTGACCCGTGTCTGTAGTGTGGAACGTGGAACGTGACTAAACGTATCCTTGACCCGTGTCTGTAGTGTGGAACGAGGAACGTGAATAAACGTATCCGTGACCCGTGTCTGTAGTGTGGAACGAGGAACGTGACTAAAACGTATCCTTGACCCGTGTCTGTAGTGTTCAACGTGGAACGTGACTAAACGTATCCTTGACCCGTGTCTGTAGTGTGGAACGAGGAACGTGACTAAAACGTATCCTTGACCCGTGTCTGTAGTGTGGAACGAGGAACGTGACTAAAACGTATCCTTGACCCGTGTCTGTAGTGTTGAACGTGGAACGTGAATAAACGTATCCTTGACCCGTGTCTGTTGTGTTGAACGTGGAACGTGGCTGAATGTATCCTTGACCCGTGTCTTAGTGTGGAATGTGGAACGTGACTAAACGTATCCTTGACCCGTGTCTGTAGTGTGGAACGTGGAACGTGAATAAACGTATCCTTGACCCGTGTCTGTAGTGTTGAACGATGAACGTGAATAAACGTATCCTTGACCCGTGTCTGTAGTGTGGAACGTGGAACGTGGCTGAACGTATCCGTGACCCGTGTCTGTAGTGTTGAACATGGAACGTGAATAAACGTATCCTTGACCCGTGTCTGTAGTGTGGAACGTGGAACGTGACTAAACGTATCCTTGACCCGTGTCTGTAGTGTGGAACGTGGAACGTGGCTGAATGTATCCGTGACCCGTGTCTGTAGTGTTGAACGTGGAACGTGAATAAACGTATCCTTGACCCGTGTCTGTAGTGTTGAACGTGGAACGTGAATAAACGTATCCTTGACCCGTGTCTGTAGTGTGGAACGTGGAACGTGACTAAACGTATCTTTGACCCGTGTCTGAAGTGTGGAATGTGGAACGTGACTAAACGTATCCTTGACCCGTGTCTGTAGTGTGGAACGAGGAATGTGGCTAAACGTATCCTTGACCCGTGTCTGTAGTGTGGAACGAGGAACGTGAATAAACGTATCCTTGACCCGTGTCTGTAGTGTGGAACGTGGAACGTGAATAAACGTATCCTTGACCCGTGTCTGTAGTGTGGAACGAGGAACGTGGCTAAACGTTTCCTTGACCCGTGTCTTAGTGTGGAACGTTGAACGTGGCTGAACGTATCCGTGACCCGTGTCTGTAGTGTGGAACGTGGAACGTGACTAAACGTATCCGTGACCCGTGTCTGTAGTGTGGAACGTGGAACGTGAATAAACGTAGCCTTGACCCGTTTATGTAATGTGGAACGAGGAACGTGGCTAAACGTATCCTTGACCCGTGTCTGTAGTGTGGAACGTGGAACGTGAATAAACGTATCCGTGACCCGTGTCTGTAATGTGGAACGAGGAACGTGGCTAAACGTATCCTTGACCCGTGTCTTAGTGTGGAACGTGGAACGTGGCTGAACGTATCCGTGACCCGTGTCTGTAGTGTGGAACGTGGAACGTGAATAAACGTATCCTTGACCCGTGTCTGTAGTGTGGATCGTGGAACGTGACTGAACGTATCCTTGACCCGTGTCTGTAGTGTGGAACGTGGAACGTGGCTAAACGTATCCTTGACCCGTGTCTGTAGTGTGGAACGTGGAACGTGACTAAACGTATCCTTGACCCGTGTCTGTAGTGTGGAACGAGGAACGTGAATAAACGTATCCTTGACCCGTGTCTTAGTGTGGAACGTGGAACGTGACTAAACGTATCCGTGACCCGTGTCTGTAGTGTGGATCGTGGAACGTGACTAAACGTATCCTTGACCCGTGTCTGTAGTGTGGAACGTGGAACGTGACTAAACGTATCCTTGACCCGTGTCTGTAGTGTGGAACGTGGAACGTGACTAAACGTATCCTTGACCCGTGTCTGTAGTGTGGAACGAGGAACGTGAATAAACGTATCCTTGACCCGTGTCTGTAGTGTGGAACGAGGAACGTGACTAAACGTATCCTTGACCCGTGTCTGTAGTGTGGAACGTGGAACGTGAATAAACGTATCCTTGACCCGTGTCTGTAGTGTGGAACGTGGAACGTGACTAAACGTATCCTTGACCCGTATCTGTAGTGTGGAACGTGGACCGTGACAAAACGTATCCTTGACCCGTGTCTTAGTGTGGATCGTGGAACGTGGCTGAATGTATCCTTGACCCGTGTCTGTAGTGTGGAACGTGGAACGTGATTAAACGTATCCTTGACCCGTGTCTGTAGTGTGGAACGTGGAACGTGGCTGAACATATCCTTGACCCATAACAGTGCCTTCTTTATCATTACTGATCACAGTGATCTATGCTTATTGCCGAGTCAGCAATGTGAGTGCTTATCCCGAGTGTACACACGGAATACTACACGTCTCAACTGAGTACCCAGGTAATATTGATTTAGTATCATGTCATGTAGGTTATGGAGATCCACGTCATACGGTCGATCTGAAATCGTGAACACCTTGTGTCATTACTATGAGACACTTTCAAATTTGTGACAAAAATGATGTCAGATGCTATTCCCTATTTTGACTTTTTTTGTTTTCTTCAGATGAACAATTGAGTTGCCTTTGCGTGTGTTTGTGATGAATGCCACCGGTGGGGCAGGATACGCACACCTTTCGCGAACACCTAGTATCATCACTATTTGATAGTAAATCATAAACACATGCTTATACTAGGTTGAAATCATAAATCAATTTGCTATGATTTTGGAAATAATTTTGTCACTTATGTGTATGAACGTTAAAAGTTCACATGGTTAAATAGAGGATTCTCTTCCACTGATTTACCAATCTGAGATAGAAATATGTACATTTTGAGATCTATGCAAAAGGGATGATTTAAACGTTTCATTTGTCAACTTTCCCTTCATGTCCGACAATATTCAAGCAGCTTCAATCCCTGGTGTCTACAGTTCACAACGTTTGAAGTAAAATCTTATTCAAAAGTTGTTTGAGCAAGGTTAAAACATGCAATGCCTCAGTAAAT